GACGATGCGGCATGAAGAAGACGCAACAATAACCAGCGCAAACGTGATGAGCTTGCTGCACCAGCCCAGCCTCTCCCCGCGAAGTAGTGCCCAACGGCGGTTCCGCGGGGGTTAAACAGGGGCAGAAGGAGAAGTCGATGGGCCCCACAACATCTATATGTTTTTATATCTTTTTTCTTTTATAACTCCACCCGCCTTATATAAAATATGTTACAACGGAAACTCAAAAATGTACCGAAATACATTTGATTTAATAAACTGAGCCCATCACTCCATTTAAAAAAAAAAAAAAAAAAAAAGCGATAAATCTTACTTACATGGAAGAAAAATTTGCCACCGTCTTCAAGTAACTAATGATGCAACTGAGAGGGCCGTAGCTATGTGCAATGAATTCTCCAATAAGATAACAAAATTATCTGATTAATGGCAAAATACTTTGCTCCCCGTGTACACCAACAGAAGAAAATTTACGCATTGTCTCTTAAATATTTTTTTGATACAGCAATATTCATTGCTTCAATTTAAATTCTTTCAAAATTCGAAAGTAAATAATAATATGACTCAAACTATGATGAACTTGTTCATAACAGCTTTTCTCATCATTACATTAACGTTAATTGTGTAAAATACCGTATAGCGAAGTTTTTCAATTATAATCGTCGAAAAAATTGCCGAAAAATACAATTCCACGCTCGTACGTGAATTTAAAGTATATCATTAGTTATATCGTTTTATTCTACGGGAAAAATGCTAAGTGAATCCATTCTCAAAATTTCTCCGAGATTTTTTCTCCTTATTTCCTGCAAGGCGAAAGCGGGTAAAAGTCAAAAAGTTTGCTTTTTCGACGCACAAAAATCAATTTGCTGAAAAAAGTTATCATCCAATCTTTCATCTGAGAACGCCATTTGATTCTACAGACAAAAATACACAAAGAACAGTGTCTACCATTTCAATTTTCAGCTAAAACGAAACAGGTAATACATTTAATATCGACTATTTTGGCCCGATGTTCAGACCACGTTTTTAAATTTTAAAAATCTATCGACAAGCAACGAGTAACTTTTTCGATATTCTGAAAACAGCTTTTACCATGTTAGGACTTGAATTTTCTAAAAATATAATTTCTAAAGGCACGTTCGAAAATTTTTGCAAAGTGAATCAGTGCACTGCAAAGTGCACACAGCCTCGAAAGGAGCCGTACTGCGTTCGGTGCAGGACAGCGGGACACTACAAAAGAGATTGTCAGAACGCGGTGAATGAAATTTCAAACAGGCGCGAAGAAGCTACAAAATCTACCGCAGTAAAATATTACAAGACAGCCTTGATCAACGATAAAGCAATGAGCACGTTCATCGACCCGGAAAGTGCTGCTTGTATCCTGAGCATCAATGCAGCGGTCGTCAATCAAATTCTAATAAAATACGAGACGAGCGAATTAAAGAGCTTCGGACCCCAAGATTTCCGAGTCGTGGCGCCTGGATATGTCACGGTGTTGATCCAAGTTGACGAGACAAGAGTGGATAAAGTAAAATGTCACGACGTGGTCCCGGACAAATTTCTCTCGACGGATATGTTGATCGGTCGCACTTTCACAGATCACGACTCGGTAAAGTACATGAAGGAAGGAGACTCACTAACGTTCACGCTGATATCATCACTAGAGCCGACGACCGACAAGAAAATTAAGGCGAAGGGAACCACCGTGACTTCTCCGTCGTCAATCTACATGAGCAAAAAATAAGCGGACATAGGGTACTTTTCTGAAAGGTTTGACTGAAAACTTGTCATTGAAAGCTTTCTGTAAACTTTCTGAAATACAATCGGCAACAAAATTATCGCAACAAAAAAATTCATCGAAATTTTGTCGATTTACAAATGCTTCTATCTTGGGCTAGATTTATTGTATCGACACGCTTTTTTTTTTAATTTCTTGGAAATTTTGTCTTCTTTAAATCCATATAAATTAAGATAAGATTCGAGCTAATGTTGAGTTACCAGTAGTATTTGAGCGCGACACTAAAAATTACTGAAAAAAAATGACTGTTTGAACGTGTACCAGTACCACAGTAATTTTTCTATGGAAATTTAACATACACCATCGCAAAGTGCTCTTTTCAACGAGTAATTTAAAAAAAAAGGACCTCTCTACGATTTTTTTAACGCCCTGTAGGTCGTTTTGAAGATACCATTTAAAGTAGTCCGGGCGCTGGTGACATTTGAGTGAACTTGCGAGATCCCCTCGGCGAGTTGATGGATTTCTATGTTTTTTGGGTCGCTGAAACCGAATTTGAAGGTCGCCAGGCCGAATTCCTGGTCAATTTTTTGTTATAAACAAATTAATTGTTTAAACAGCCATATCTTGAAAAATATTGAAGATAGATTAAAACAATTTTGTTTTTATTTTATTTGTCTTTGAAAAACAAAGAAATTCCATTAAATTAATTGAAAATCCGTCCACTAGAAAAAAAGTTATGCAATAATTAGTGTAAAATACGTCTTTTTTCACCTTTCAACCTCTGTAACTTTGCTCATATTAGTGCGATCGAGCTCCTGGACGTCTCATTTTAAAGGTAATAACCTACAGAATGATGTAACATAATTTTTATGTAGGTAAAATTGTTTATAATGCAATCTGTAGACGTGTATATACGTAATTTTATGGCTCTGACGTACTTTCAATTTGTTTATACGCGTTTTTTGCTGAGATAAATTAGTAAATCAACGTGGTAACTGAGTTCAAATGAAAGTACATCAAAAAACCAAAATTTTTAGGGGTTTAGAAAGGAAATCGGTCCAGTAGGTGCCAAGTTACAGCCTTCTGAACTAGCGCGTAGAAACCAGCGAGCGCTTAGGGCGTTTGGTACTGGTACACGTTCAAACAGTCATTTTTTTTCAGTAATTTTTAGTGTCGCGCTCAAATACTACTGGTAACTCAACATTAACTTGAATCTTATCTTAATTTATATGGATTTAAAGAGGACAAAATTTCCAAGAAATTAAAAAAAAAGGGCGTCAATACGATAAATCTAGCCCAAGATAGAAGCATTTGAAAATCGACGAAATTTCGATGAATTTTTTTGTTGCGATAATTTTGTTGCCGAGTGTATTTCGTGCTATGTGAGTATGACTGTGTGGATGACCTTAAATAAAACTATCAATAAGTTGAATTGTTCCAAAAAAAATCAAATAACTTTGGATTGTCTTTATGGTTTGCACAAGCATCTACTAAAACAAGATTCAAACAGGGTCCCAAATAATGAACATAGAGTATCGATTTATTCATTGATTTGCATTTGCCTGAATACTAGAAGATTCTCTAGATATATTCGAGGCTTCATGCCAGACCCAAAAATTGCAGTGTTGTTGTTAAATTATTGAATACTATAGCGATTTTGTCAGAGTTTTGTAAGAATTTTTAAGAAAGCAAAAAATATAAAATAAGTTTTTGCAAGGTATATACCATGTATACATTGTAAATACAAGGTATATATATAATGAATTTATTTATTTTTTTTTTAAATCGATTTTCCAGATTTTTTGGGAAGGCCAGAATTTTAGCGCGAGATTCATTCAACGCGTAATTTATAGATAGTCTTTGCATCAGTTTTGTTACACGATTCATTGAAATAAACCTTTCTACAGGAAGTAATTTACTTTTTGGTATACCTTAATACCCCAGATATCTGATCATGTAGACTGACATCTGACGTCTCATCAGCACTCAGAGCCACAGGCTGTCCTTGAAGCTACTCTTGAATATATTGCAAAATGACATTTCGTAGTGCGGTCAAAATATCATTTCGGATGCGATTCCTGAGGTATGTGCAATTTTTTGGTTCCTACCTATATATTCTTTTAATTCAATATCGTATTTTTTCAATAAATGAACAACTTCGAGAAACAATCCTTTTTCATTGCAATCTGCACTTTCATCATGACCACGCAAGGGTCTTCGCTGTAAACTCTGCGTGCGTCAATTGATAAAGACTACAAATTAACCGTCTATGTAGATTTCTCTCCACTTTTAAAATGCTATGAGAATATATCGCCGCTCTCCAAGAAAAGAATAACGCTTCAACTAATTTGGGCAAAAAAATTACTGTAACATATGTGGCATTTCACATCATTTATCCCAGGGCCGCACAGCGAGACATTATTTAGTCGAATCGCTAAATTTGTAATTCGCTGTAAAAGTACTTAAATATGCGTGAAAGAAAAAAGTAACCCATCATTTTGATAGGAAATTGCCTTAGCTCTCCGTTGATGAGATCAGATTTTCAAAAATTTTCCGTTTTACCTGGAAAAGTCTCTGGAAAAACTATAAAGATAATTATCTCTAAAACTTTATTTTTAAGATTTTTCTAAATAGTCTGGAACGAAAGATCCATCGATATGGCTGGTGGCACATTTTATGTACGCGAAATACACGACATTACTCCAATGCGTGACTATTATATCCCCTACTGCAGGAATAAAGTATCTGTGACAATACCAATATGATGTCATAGAAGAAATACATTTATTATTGTGTCATTGCACTATGTAAGAGCCTGGAGGAGCAGTTGATGTTTAATGAGTAAGTCGAAAATTAATAAATTAATAGTAAAACAATTTATTTGTGATAAAGTAATAAACAAAAAGTTGATTATACTAGGTCCTCACACGCGTTCACAATGATAAAAATAGCTCACTCGTCGATGATGGGCAAATCTGTTCGTCGTATTTAATTGTACAGGGAAGTCACTCAATATGGATCTTTTATAGTTCACTCGAACGCCAAATTAACGATTATATAAACAAACAACAATCTGACAATTCGCACGCTGCGACAATAGCTTGTAGATCACGCAATTAATATTATTGACTGCTCATCGTACTTTACGTACTGCGAGCCTCGCAAGTTATTTTGCGCCTAATTCACGCTCACGGTTTTATGCTGAGGCGAACAGAATGTAATTATAGAAAATTATTATAATATATTTTAAATAAAACAATTTTCATTGTCTTTTGTAGACTTGAAGTACTTTTGAATATATGTTATTTTTTAGGATATTTTATTACAAAAACACCCAATAATGTAAAGGTGTAAATGAAAACAAACACATTAATAGTAAGAGAATTAACCAGGTATCTATAGACAACAAGAATCATGTAAATATGCGTTTAATTAAACATCTTATATCAATATTCATTAGTATGAATAAAAACATTAAAATGAAACTATTGAACGTCAAAAAACATTCAGATTGTTTATTGTAAATTACAAGAATTTTTTTGTCCATTTTTGAATTTGAGACGTGATTTTGGGCGATATTTTTCTAAATAAGCCAGTTGTTTTGCATTAATTGCTCCTCGCCTTTTCCTGAAAAAATTAGAGATATTATATGTTTTGAAATTTTTTTTTCAAATTTAATTGAATATGAATTAAAACTATATGAATTTCATCTCAATCAATCTTCAATCTCTTCTTTAAGCAATCTACTAAGCTTCTGAACATTAAAATTATTAAATAAGCAAAATCCGCTCATTATGGCCACGCCGAGACCAAGGGTTTCGGACACATTAACCGGCAGAATGTTTATAGTAACCGGCTTATTTTATATGCATTTACGTAGGATGAGACTGTAACCGAGGTTTTTGGCCATATTAAATGGTTAGCAATATTAACAGTGGACATAATAAATGGATTCTACTATATATTGCTTTCAATTACGAAAGATGTTAAAAGCCATAAGAAAACTCATCATTAATTATTTAATTAAAACCTGCGAAATAAAATTAAAGATTTATACAATTAATATTCAAAACGTTTTTGTGACATTTTTGTAGTCAAATAAATTTTTTTGATTCCATCCCACATACACTGCCCTGCAATCACTTTTGCCGTAACCAAGTAAGTAGTGGATAAACTTCAAAGTGTCATATCTCGGTCAATAAAGATCGGAGCAAGATTTTAAAAATACCGTTTAAAAGATCTTTACAAGCACTTTACAACTATATAAATTATGTGAGATTCCAATCATTTATTCACCAATTGTTTTCAACAAATGAAGAATCGAAAAAATCAGTTTTTGTCGTCATTGATATTTCACTTGCCATTTTAGTAGGTCTTGTAGAAACATTCGGAGCCCATCAATCTGTGGGTTTTGATAAGACCTTCAAATCTATTCATTTTAGGAGGCTCGATCGAAAACGTAATTCATTTACCATCCTCGTGAAATTTTAACACATGATAGTTATTATGGTAAAAAATTTATTGGTAAAAAAAATTATGGGTTGCCGAACAAATGCGAGAGATAATCACATTCAAAGTTTAGCACATTTAACATGGGCTGTTATGGGGAATCGCAGTCTTTCGTTCACCCTAAGCTTCAAACATTTACCATCTTTTTGAAATTTATATCATTGAAAGTAAATTTTATAAGTTTTCCAATGATATAATTATCAATGGGGGTCGCCGAGCATTTTCGAAAGATATGAAGGGTTGAAACGTTACGTTAAACGGTTGAACTGAACTGTACGCTGCGACATGTCACATGACGCAAGCGTAATGACGGTAATTCAGATCATTTATAAAATAGCAGCTCGTAAATATTTTTTATAAATAATAATCAATGTATAATAAATGTATACATAGTTACATTGTAACAGCAATAATCAATGTATTTTAATAGTTATATTTTATTTCGCTTTGCATATTCCTAAATTTTTTATCATTATTAAAATTATTCTATTAGAAAAATATTAGAAAAAAATTGTTCTAATGAGTTGTTATATTTAATTTGAATTTAGCCGCCATCTTGTTTTCTGTGATTATTTCATATGTCAAAAGTGCGGGCGTCGCACATAGCGTCATGCATTGTGCGTTGCGCAATACATGCACAGAGCATTCAATTGTACATAACCTTACACCGATCGAGCCTCCTTAAATTGTCCTACGTGCATTTTTCACGAAGATACGAGCGTTTACAGGGACCTGATATTTTTTGAAATTCTAAAATTTTGATGAATCAGAACCATGAATATTCTAAAAATCTAATCCATACATTTTACTTCATATTCTACATACAAAAACAAACATTTTTGTACATAAGATTTTTTCCGTTTTATTTACGAAGCCGTGCACGTATGAATGAAAAAAAAGTGGGAAAATGATATCAATTATTTCTCTAAAGTTAAACCACCGTACCTTCGTTAAAAATGCACGTAGAAGAATTTAAGTTTCACAGACTTGAAGGTCTAATCAAAACCTATAAATTCATGGGCTCCGAATGATTCTACAAGACCTACTAAAATGGCGAATGAAATATCAATGACGACAAAAACTGATTTTTTCGATTGTTTATTTGTTAAAAACTATTGGTGAATAAATAATTGGATTCTAATATAATTTATATAGTTGTAAAGTGCTTGTAAAGACCTTTTAAATGGTATTTTTAAAATTCTGATCCGATCTTTATTGACTGAGATATGACACTTTGAAATTTACTTACTTTTTACTTACAAGAAGAGCTTTTCAGGTTTGGGTCATGGATTTGCTTCAAAATTTGTTTGCAGTCTCTTGGTACCCAATACTGAAGCTCCCTGTGCTTAGTTTGATCCAATGGGCCTTAGGGCCCATTTCGTAGAGGATTTTCCACATTATAAAAAAATCTTTGTTATTTTCTATATCGAAATAGAAGTACTTAACCCATTAACGACCAAAATGCTCGATTTTTTTGTTGGTTTTCGCAGCGATTTTTTTTGTAGTTTGAGGCCTCCAAAAAGTTTTGAATGGACCCATTTCGATGTAAAATTTAATGCCCTTTCAGAAACTGAGCTCAAAATTTCGATTCTTTGCGTAATAAAAAAGTAATGGCTACTTATACGAAAAAAAACGTAAAATTTTTTGCAAAAAATCAAGTTTTTGATTTTTTTTCACCATGTTACCGATAGGGAATCACGATATAAATATGATCAGGGGTGATCACGAATAACACAGTATCTCAGAGAATTTTTATGGAATTTTTGAACTTCTTTTCAAACTTTTGTTTTTCGCACTTTTTCTCTACATTCAGTAGTTTTCGAGTAAAAATGAGTTATGTTTTATATGAATATAAGTTATTTTTTGTTTGAAGTAGTGGTTCGAAAATTCCATAAAAATTCCGAGATATTTTGATAGTCGTGATCACTCCTGATCATATTTATATCGTGATTCCCTAACAGTAAAACGGTGAAAAAAAATCCAAAACTTGATTTTTTGCAAAAAATTTTACGCTTTTTTTTCGTATAAGTAGCCATAACTTTTTTATTATGCAAAGAATCGAAATTTTGAGCTCAGTTGTTGAAAGGATTAAATTTTACATCGAAATAGGTCCATACGAAGCTTTTTGGAGGCCTCAAACTACAAAAAAAATCGCTGCGAAAACCAACAAAAAAATCAAGCAGTTTGGTCGTTAATGGGTTAAACGAAAAAATGGGACGATCAAAAGTTTTAAAATTTTTCAAATAATCTGCTTGAATTTTTTCAGAATTTTTGGGAATGTTAGTGCTTGTCGATGTAAAATTTGGCAAGGAATCGAATGGTGTAATTATTTTTCCCGTATCTTGCTTAGATCGCGAGATATGAGCAAAAAACACTTTAATTTTCCATTTTCACGGTTTTTACGGAGGCTTAGGTGAAAAATAATTCGATATTCGGATTTTTTGTTGAATTTTACATGAATTTAAGTTGTCACAGTCCACTCGCGGACCATTAATACGACGAGAATACGTTTAATCGAGATTATTTGTATCAATGGCATGTTAATCTCCGGTGGTACGCCGCCATATTGGTATAGCTATTTCTCTATCTTCTCTCTCTACTTATAAAAAAGAGAACAGCCGGAAAGTGAAGCCGCGTAAAACGACCTCTGATAGGCCTTCACTGAAGACGACGCCCGACGCGAGCCGACTCGATACGAGTATCTGCGCTGCTAACTGTCACAAGACAGTTATATTACTTTATAAAAAAGAGAACAGCCGGAAAGTGAAGCCGCGTAAAACGACCTCTGATTGGCCTTCACTGAAGACGACGCCCGACAGAGCCGACTCGATACGAGTATCTGCGCTGCTAACTGTCACAAGACAGTTAGTACTTAAGTAACCTCAAAACACGAATGAAAAAATTGACGCGCGCGAAGCACGTTTGAAAACTTACTATTTCTGAATCTTAAACTAACCTCAATGCATAATGGCATAATGGGGAAATCAATAGGAACAATTTGACAGCATACAAAGTACTGAAAAACCTAGTTTTTTATGAACTTTTCTTGTTTCTAAGGAGGTTGAATCACGGTGGATTTTTTTATATAACATTTTGGAACATTTTCCAATCACTAAGAAGCTTTTTAAGAATCCTGTAAACAAGTTTAAAGTAGAATCTTTGTCAAAGCTGGACAGTGTTTCGCATACGGTATTAAGATTCGGAAAGCAAATAAAATTCGGATTCATTCTTTAGCATACCAAATTAGACAGCGGAAAAAAATTTCGAGTATTCGTATTTATAAATCTTGAATTAGGCACAGCGGCTAGTTACACGTATCCGGGAACTTTCAAGTTTTTTCCAGCCTAGGATATTAATATACTATAACGGTTGGCGAAACTCGAACTTTCAGTGTCAATATAGTGTTACCAATTCACTCTTTAAAAATAAACAAAATTTTTAGAACCCTATAATGAAAATTAATTGAAAAGAATACAAATTTAATTGCTAAATAACTGTTGAGGTTTTCATATTAATAGAATAAAAGTAGCACTCTCTTTTCCCCTCACATATTTCTATTGAAAATCATAATTTTCAAATTTTAAAAAAGGATTGGATCACACTAACAAAAATTTTCTTAACTGATTTCTTGTTTATAAAGCTAATGAGTTAAAATACTAAATCTTACTCTCTTATTAAGGCAACAGCGTCTTCATATTTTAGTCCAAGTTCGATTAATGCTAAAGCGACTAAGACAGGTGCTCTACCAAGACCAGCAACACAGTGTACAGCAATGCATCCATCAAGAGACTTTTGAAAACGTGTTTTTATAAGTTCAAACCAGTCATCAATCACCTAAAAGTATTAAAAGAAACTATTTAAAAAATGGTCAACATGACACTTAAAAATTTTTAAGGATCTTATTTATGTAAAGTTTAGTTGATAAAAAATTGATTATACACAAAAAGCAATAAATTATTTTTCACAATTTTATGCATATTGATAATGATTCTTTCTATACGATATTATACTTTGTCTAATCTACTTTTTGTTTTCAAACATTTGACTGCTTTTTTATAATTTTCATGATAAAGCCAAATAATTCATTTTCTTATCAACGAGAGACTATCAAAGCATCGAACTATGTGTTTTTTATCGATACTCCAAGAAAACTTTCCAATTTGGTGTGATTTTCAGTTTATCTGCGAATAACCACCATCCTCTTCTAATGCCTCTGTTTGTTCTCCACGGGCCTGCCGTTCTACATTATATTATGGGGAGGGGAGCAGGTGCAGCAGCATTTCCCGAGTGTTCTCTTATATTTCAACGTCTGCATTGTTATTTTTTTCTAATCATCTCTTAAGATTTTAGTTTTGTTATGACCGAGGAGGAAGGCAAGAAAGAAACGGCCTTCCACTTCTCCTCGTTCTACAGCAAGAGCCTGACTATGTTCTCAGACTTTATACCTTCTTGGAGATGAGACTGTACTCTCTCATTTACCATTGGAACGTGGGTAATAGAAAAATTTGGATCGGACTTAGTCAGATATCTGTAAAGGCAAAAGCATACGCGCTGCGCTACGACGAGCAGTACACTCAGAGCTCGCAATATGAGCACCCCCATTGTACACGCATTAATAAAGTATACATAGTGTTTATACCTCGCACGAGGTCACAAACACTTTAATATAAAAAAAAAAAAAAAAAGTACACGCATTGAATCCTCTATTTTTTGAAAGCTTTGCTATGAATCGTGTAAGGCACATATGGACAGTACACTTTACGGGGACGAATACAACTTAAAATATTTTTTATTTCATATTAAAAAAAATAGACCGAAAGTCCCCTGAACTTAAAAAATTCAAATTAAATTGTATGTCTATGTATCGTAACATTCAAGTTAAACCAATAACCTTCTCAAGTTCCTGGAGGGCTCTATTTGTTTGTTGCAATAATGTCTATGGTCGCTACCTCAGACAAAGTGATAGCACCATCCAAATACTCCGTGTGACAATTGAACTTTGTATAAAATTGTAATGTTTTAACTAGTCACGCAAAAATCACTTCCTGCAGTTGAGCCGATCTCTCACTGCTGTGCTATTCACGCTACGGGGTCTTATTTTATTTTCGAGTAGGATTTTTAATCCCCTTTTTATTGCATTTTTTGAAACTTCAAAAATTTGATCATTCAGTGAGATACAGCTGTTTCCGTGAGCTATTTTCGTATACTTTACGTGTTGAATTTTTTCTTCTTTTCCGTTTTCTGACGTTTTACGTTTTTATAAAGTGCATCTCAGTTGTCGTAACATTCAGAGCGTACGGATTGAGTTACAGCACCAGGGTCGCGTACACTTCTTCAGAACATCAATGGTTACGGTCACAACCTCGGGCGTGCCGATCTGACCCTTAAGTCACCCTGCACAAACACTTATGCACAATTTTTTTTTCATTTTACGTTTTTTTTTGTGACCTCCTTCATGAATCTACTGATTGAAAGTGACCTATGAGTTTGATCACCTCAAGTTCAATTGTGAGTGTGGCAAACGATGACCCAAAAATATCAAGATTGTTTTACTTTATCGAAAACTTTAAGAGCAGAGGTAAATTTGGAGATCAGAGAAGAGCGACGTGAATTTCTGAGTAAACTACATCTCTTGGAAAATTGGAAGCGCCAACTTCCAAATCGCCTAGACGGGGCAAGCCAACTTCCAAATTACGGAGTCCACAATGTACGAAGACGAATATAATTATATAAAACGAAAATTATTATGGAGGGCAGCACTTCATCGAGTTTGTAGCAGATAACACCGGCTAAAAAGATGAGCCCAATATCGATGAAGACGGTAAGCCATCGTTATGTCGCACTGCACTAGTACATTATGCGGCTAGACACGGGTGCAGCCGTCTAGATACTATATTCGAAATTTATAATCAGTTCGACGTGAACTACACCGACGAAGATGGATTAACGCATTTCCACGTCGCCTCGACGATATTGTCATAAAATTTCTCGAGCTTTGACAGGATCCCAATCTCCTTGTGGAAAGAACGGGTGTCTCGTCGCTACACTTGACTGTGAGGAACAAAAATAAGGAGGTGATGAAACTGCTTTTGAGAACTGACGTAACCCGAATTTGGCCAATAAGGACGAATCGACACCTTTGCACACTATACGCTACGAAAAGTTCGATGATAATATAGCGAAGATATTATTTGAGATCAGTGACGACATTTATCATGCGTTACATATCGACGCCCGCGACAAGTTGGGTAACACACCGCTACATTTGGCTTTTGCCTGCAAACTATTAATTACTGAATTTCTACTGACACACTGCACATTATTTGCAAGAGAAGACAGCTTATCTCTAATAACTTGCCACTTGACATTCATGACTTCGTGGAGAAATTCTTCGAGATCCTCCACAACATCCACAGGATGGTGCAGGTCGATGCACGAAATAAGTTTGGTCTTACACCGTTGCAATTAGCTGTAACAAATATTTTGCTACATGTGGTTGATGTACTCTTGAATCGTGGCGCTGACCTTTCCAGCTTCGTTTTTCCCACCAAGAGCCTTTCTGGCGAGGCATTCGTGACGTGGTTCAATAGACTTTTTCCTAAATTAAAAAAATTGATTCTAAATTCTGGAGCTCTGGTCGTCGTTAACAACTCAAGAAATGAGGACATGAATTAAACCGAAGCGACGCCACACAAATCGTGAAATTATTCAACGGAATCAAATTGTTAGAGAAGTCGACGGATATTGACAATAATTGGTATGATGATAAGGATTTTGTGAGCAAAGCGAAAAAAATAATAGCAAAGTCGGATCTGTCGCTTTACGACCTGATCCAGCTCCTACCCGAAGAGGTGAAGAAACTACTCACATGTACAGACTATCACAACTTCACATACTTTCCCAGATCATGGCAGTTTCCTGTAAAGGGAGTCATACACTAATTCAATTCTCTCTGGCATTTTTGTCAATCACAGTTTAATGTCAGTCTACATTTTCAACACAACATTGACAAAAATACCAAAGAAGAGTGAATTGGTGTATGACTCTCTTCAGGCAGCACATGCTTGTGCTATACATCTGTACATATGGAGGGAATTTTTCAAGAGGTGGGCACTGGATCCTTTCATGCAGCGGATATATTACTGATTGCCGATTCTTCGCTGGTCAATTATTGTGGAAAAACTGAAGAACGATGATTTAAAAATATTTACTTGGTGGCTACGCATGGGTCAAATTGACTGGTTCATTTAATGTTTTATATTTTCTCGCAACTAACTCGCAAAAGTGCAATTTTGCGCATGAATTTTCCATTGTAAAAAAATCCTAGAAAAGGTTCATGCACTTTTTCTCTAAACCTTCAAGAAACGCATTGGTGCGATTTCCATCCAGCCCTTGTATTTCTAAAATGGCAGATTTATACCGAGCAGCGATGTAGAAATTCACTTATTTTTTACCCGAAAACTATTTCACATGCTCTAAATATCAACTAAAAAAGACAATTTTGAGGGCAAAACAGTATTTGAAATCGTTTAGAGAGTACGCGTGAATATTTTTCAGAATTTCTGAGACCTGTCGCAAAAATCCAAAGTGTTCCAAAAAAATTCTGGAAAAATTCTAAAAAAATTCTGAAAAAATTCACACGTATTCTTTGAACAAATTTAAATACTGTGTATTGTATGACTTTTTTTTAAAAAGTCAATAATTTTTTATTAAAAATGAGTGAATTTAATAACTTGATTGATCAACGATTATCTGCTATTCGTTTCATAATTGGTCAAAGTTGTTTGATCAATAAGATCAGCATTGAAAAAAATCAAAATTTTTCCCACTAGCGCATTTACGATCAATTCGCGGTTGCGTATCATTATTTTCAATCAAATTTCTAGAATGATTCATGTCAGCTTGTTTTGTGATATCATAATCGATTGTTTTTTGAATAGCAGATAGTGAACTGCTATCACATCATTATCGCCATCGAAAACCCATTTTTGAATGTTTGCTATTTTTAGAATTTCGCTGTTTACAACCAGCTCAACAGCACCATCCGCTTCCATGGCTTTAACACTGCCATAAAAATTCAAAATACAATCATGCTTATTTTGATCCTGTACATATTTCCATTTCACATGTTCTATACTTTCTATTCCTTATACAATAAACCAAGATTTTGCCTGTCAATAGTCATATGATGGCAAAACATCTAATTTAAGCTATCATACGAATATCCATAATCATGATTGCTTCTGAACAATTTTCTTTTGCTACATATTCTGTTATAGGACCTATAATCATCTTATGACCCTTGAATATCTGAGCATTGAAACTAGTTAACTCGATAGATTTATAGTATATTACTGCTCTTATTGAAATAGGAAAAGGACTAACACATAATCAGACATGGGTTAATAATAAATGTTGATACGTTTGAATATTAGTGAATAGGATGATTCAGCGCGGTATATATGAAAATATGAAATCGTGCATTGTATAGCCTGTTTATCTTCAACAGCTCTAATTAATGGAACTTGTGTTGAACTATCACAGATGACAATTCGTAAGAATAAGCAACTATTTCATTGCCCCAGCGCCAAAGTCGCCTAAACTTCAACGGCACAAACGTGTCTTATTCGCGCCCAGCGGCAAGAAGAGGCGTTGTTCAATAGCAGTATAGCAGTAGCAACAACATAACCACTGTTTTTTTTTTTTTTTTTTTTTTTTAATATATGACATGAAGTTCCATGAAAAATACCAGCTTTCCGATGACAAGGTCAAATTTCACAAAATTATACATTGTAATACTATGATTCGTGGGGAAGTGGAGGTTCGTGGTGAGGCCACGCATTCACAATCACAAAAAGTAGTCGCATTCACACACACTAGGGCAAGTGGTTGGCTAGGCGGAAATGATCAAGGCAGTATCTTGTTTGAAAGTAAAGTGGATGGATTTATTCCAGATAGTTAATAATTTGGATTATAAGAGAGAATTGGGCCGCTTAGCCCTTTACACCATGGTCCGCTGCTTCCGTCAAACCGAAACGTGGACGGGCTGGCGCTCGAGGGAGAGAGAGATAACGATCGGCTGTTCGACGAACAGATACTCACCAGCTGTAAGTCGAGAGTTATTTCGGCTGCGGGCCTGCGTCCTTCAAGGCGGATTCGCTAGGCTTCCAAATGCACAATTGTTTAACAATCCCACTTCGGAATGAAAGGAGGCTGAAGGCACTCGCAGTAATAATTTTAGTTCGTGAGGCCAATGTAATTTTCAAGGTGTGCACGCGTTAATAGCCGAAATAACAATCAGTGCTCTCTCCTGGACCGACAGGCAGCGGGCCTCGTGTCTCCCTCTCCCTCATCATCGGCGCGCGCGCATCCCGTTGCGGCTCATCGTACGGCAAGCTACATTTAGTCTTGCGGACCTGTTAAATATTATGTAATATAATGTATAGGCTGTTTTGCCTTATAAGCGGGAGAGAGAGTAACGAATACTATATTCGTTACAACATTTTCACGAAGTGAAATCTAAAAGCATATGTGCCTACAACATTTTGAGCTACAAGAGAGATTAAATTAAAATTCGAAGTGCAAAAGATTCAACAAGGCGTCTTCTTGACACCGAGCTCAAATAAACACCAGTTTTTGCCACTCGAGTTTATTAAGGCGGTTTTGGCGCAGAGGCGACGACTTTTAAATGTTATAGCAACAACTGTTTTTCAATAACTTCAGAAAAACTCTTTGAGGAATCAGTACAAGAATCGATGCAATTTAGATATTTTGGTAGATACGGGTATTTTATCTAATCAAGAATGCTGCTTATTTATTACATTAATTAATTATGACTTTGTTATATTTACCTCGTTTGGAGGGTACGTCCCATCTTCGAATAATAAATCAATCACATTTATACCTTCTGATTTGAGTTCCCCAGTTTCATAAGTTGGTTCACAAACTCGAACGACCTCCTTGACCTTATGATTTTTCAACTCCTACAAAAAATTAATAATTAGAAAATGTGTTTTTAGTATTTGAAAGTGAACGAAAATTCAATTGAATAATGAAGTTTTTATGTAAATTTTGCATTGAAGCTTAATCTGCAACTACAATTTTACTAATGTAATGGGTATGTACAAATTCTACTGCCAAGAACTTTGAATATACACGAAACAAGAAGAGCTTGAGATCAATTGTCACTCAAAAACGAGACGAGTTTATTATTCGACGAAATCTTTTAATAGATATAATTTTTACGATCAATTCATGAGCATGTAACAATGTATTAATGTTAAGATTAATAACTAACAAAACTGTTTTAAACTTTTATTAATTTATTTTAAGGTTATTTAAGCAATTTTTAGTGTTGCTTCGCAAAAACTCTCATCAGCAATACATTATAATTCGTCTCGCACTCTTTCGAATTAAATACTATTACTAAAATACGAGAACAATAGTGAAATATCGCGTCAATTTCTTTATAAGGCTCTATGCTAGCGCGAACTAATTTTCTGATTTTGGAAAGACTCGTTTGTACCTAAAATTTGCATCAATTGCAGGAGCAAATCGAATTAAATTGCTAAAATACTTTGAAAACACATCTATTTGGAATCCGAAATACTGCTTTTGAGTGCATAATTTTACCAAACTCTTAATGAATACTTTTAGCACTACAAGTATGAAAACTATGTGAAAATCATAAAAATCAAAAAAAAACCCTTTCTTCTAAAGACATCATTTCAGCTATATCCCAAACAGAGTCAAACGACCTCTTCGATGTACATTTTTGAAGTAGCTTAGTTATTTGTAAAATAATGACATTAAATCTACGAAAATACAAATGTCAAGAATCTATTCACTTATTTTCACATTTTAAGTAATAATGAATTAAAAATAACTTTTTTTTATCTTATAAAGTGTTTGTTAACCAATATATGTATACTGTATTTAAACATAATATAATGCTCAAATTAATTATAGCATACTTACTTGAATAAACGAATGGATCGTTTGATCATTGGGACGATCAGTGATGAGAAATTTCATGTTTTTGAATTCAATTTCAGCTGGCGCTGGTCTTATATCCTTTGCTCTTGAATTATTCATTTTCTCAAAAGTAAAAGTGAATCTAAAAAATGTTCAATTGATTAGAAATCACTAAAAAAAATACTGTTCATAAATCATTTAATTTTATGAATGATATTTAATAGTAGATTACATGTGCCATTAATGTGAATTTACAGTGCCATTATAATACATTATTATGTGTAATTATCAGCCGAGGCGAAGCCGACTTTTCTTTGTACTTCAGCAAAAATTAACTTTTTCGTTTTGGAAATAAGGACGAAACAGTTAGTTTCGTCTGAACTTGGCATGAAATGCATATTTTACTCAAAATTTATTCAATTAAAGAGTCACAGGAATTTACTAAATTAAGCCCAGCACGTGTCTGCCAGCGCTCGCGAGATGACGGCAGGTGGTCTACTTTCGCATACCGTCGCATTGTCGTGTCGCGATCATGCCGCTGACTCGTGATACCCATTGTTGATCTTGGTCTCGGCTCTGCTGCTCAGCTGCACTATTTCTTGGCCTTAAAGTACCTATTCGAAATACATGCTACTCGCTTGGTCGGCGCGGTATCTCATTGTCATTACGCTTTTCACATATAGCGTGAGGGTTACCTATCCGTAGGCGAAAATGATTATTACTTAGTGAATACTTAGTAATCATGTAAAATTCAGTGCGCAGTAATAGAAACATGCCTGCGATGAAAATCATACACCCACGCAGTAATAGGTGCATCAGGTTTTTTACAGTTTATTATTTTTTAAATACTTTGTGACGGGAAATATATCACATATATTCCCCGACACAACGATACCTTCGATACTCGTCTGGCTCGAGAGATCGCGACTAACGTACACACATTCACACACACACACACACACACACATAGACAAGATCATCAAGAGAGCATGGCATAGCCAAGACACTTTGGCAAGTCGATACGTCGATACTCCTAATTTATCGATAACGACACATGCGCACGAACGTAATTCGCAAGCGGCAGAACACATTCGAATTCGTGCCTTCGGAGAGTCACCTCGGACTCGGCACTCTCTCGCAATTAGGCCTTTGACTAGCCCACATCGCTCATACTCGTAGTGTCTCTGGAGAAGATCTCCAACTCAAGGTGTCACTTGCCATCCTGCCACCATGCCAACCAACATCGGGTGGATCTGGAACCGTCATCGCCGAAGAGGCTGGCCAGCGATAATTTAAGTACACAAAACACATTAACTATCTCTCGAGCCATATCGGTATTCGCGTAGTAAAATCATTTCTCAGCTAATCGGATTCTTTCGCCATCGACATGAACTCGCGTCCCCGAGATTATAATCGTTGAGTCTGCATGCTCTACATGCTGTGGCGTCCCGAGCATCTTGTACATTGACTTATCTTGAACCAAACAATATATGATTTATATTTATTTCTTTATTAACCCATTGCATTAATACTTTATTTATTCATTCACCCCAAAATCTCTCACAACTTTTATACCCCAAAGCCATAAAGAAATGTTTTCTATGCATTAGTGAAGCTCTCATCTGTTATAAAAATAATTACCGGTGTCAAAATCAATTTTATTTTTTGTTAAATTTTCTTGAGAATCAGAGATTCGAAACGTGCGCAGTAATACCCCCTTTACCCTACATGATGCGGCATGGCTTAGAGCTTAAGCGCAGTGAGGGTCCTAATAGTCATGTCAGAAAAAATCCACTATTGCAAAAGTATTCTACTCAATTTTATGACTTCGTGCTACAGCTAAACCCCGATATCTGCGCATTCGATATCTGCGGATTCGTTATCTGCGGTCTTATGTTTTGTGACCAATTTTCAATATCTGCGGTACGAAATCTGGTTATCTGCGGTTAGGTTCATGTTGACTTGAAGGTGTTGACATTTGTTTGTTTGTTGTTATTATATTTTTTCAAAATCAGTTGAGTTTGTAGTATTTTATATTTATCTTTATTATTAAAATGGCACCATAACTTTACCCAGATGAAAATAGTATGTAAGGTCTGACTCCAGATCTTACATACTATTTTCACCTGGGTAACTTTCTATTGACGTGTAAAGGAAACTTGTGAATCTTGTGCAGAAGAGTCATTCAATGCGAGTACCGGTTGGTGTGGCCGTTTCAAGGAGCGATTTTCATAACATAGTGTTCGTTTTACCGCCAAGGTCCCCACTTGTGATGAGGTGCATTAATGGGAGTAATGAGCACGGATCATTAGTAGTAGTTTTACGTTGAAGAGCAGCGCATCGCCGGACTTCGGCCCCTCTCCTCTCAGCAACTCAAGTCTAATTCATTGTCTTAATCTTATTTACTACCTTCCACCCACGTAACAGTTTGTAATACTTTATATTCGATACCAAAAAATTATTATTTTCTCGCGAAAAGTCTTTTATGTTAATTTTTTCGTCCACCCGGAACGTAACCCTCTAATTGCCATAAGAGCAATGCTTCGAGACATTAGTACACCTTGATTTCTGAAAATAAACTTCCTTGAGGGGACACACCTGTGTTTATGCCTATAAATGAAAATCATTAAAATTAAGTATTACTATCAAAATTTTTTGTTTCTGACGTTAAAATATGTTTTTATAGGTCCTTTCACAACAAAAAATATGTTTCTACTTCCTCTTATTGTTAAAAATCATCCATTATTCATGTATATTGACTTGTGATTTCTAAGCCATTGACCGCACGATTTTGAATGCAATCTTTGACCAATCCTGATCCTTGGCGTCTCAAAAGTTTTGTAATAAAATTCTTTTCCACTCAAGTGTAGCAGATTTTTTATTTAGTTATTTTTTTAATCTACAAATCTCCAAATATAGTAATAAGCGTTATTAAAATAGCTATTTTTGTCTTTTTTTTTGTACTTTAGTATTAAAAAAATTTTCTAAGCCTTCTGTTTAAATTCTGTTACACTGAAGTGGAAAAGAATTTTATTACAAAACTTTTGAGACCCCAAGGATCAGGATTGGTGAAAGATTGCATACAAAATCATGCGGTGAATGACTTAGAAATCACAAGTCAATATTGTAATGTACTGACCGCCCCATCAGCACGACACATGGGCGAGAAACAACGACCTCGAATACGCACACGCAACCTGCCTTACCGACCGTGGGTAAAGACCGAGAGTCGAGATAGTAGGGAGCAAGCACGTGGAAATATACCACTTGAGTAGATGCGCACCACACCACCGGCACACGTCAAAGAACACTAGCATAACCAACCGTCTCGACCACGCTTGGACGCGCAGGTAGATGAAAGAGGACCGCCGACGCGCAGACGCTCAGATGAAAGAGCACCGCAAGCACCAGCGCGACCGACGACCGCGTATCCCCGCAAGCTCGCACGAACCGTAGGGTCATTAATAGATAAAACGGCACTGCCGATGCAGGTTCAGACGCGCAAACCGAACTCCGCAGCGGCACCGACGCAGTCGTTGTTCCGCCTACTGCACGACCATTGGCGCTCTCCTTCCCTTACTCTCTCGAAACCTACAGCCACAGTGCGTTTAAGCTATCTGAACCGGCGGCTATCCCTTCCCTCCTCCCTCGCGCCGCCGATTTTCTGACAAGTATATATTGAGCGCGGTTCTTTGCTGCAGTATCATTCATTCTTTAACGACCACCCGAGCACTATCACAGCTCTTGCTAATTGACTTGCGAACCGATTACATTGACGAACCTCTATTGGACTTGAACTTTGTTAGGAGCATATCCGTGAAGGATTCAGCCGCAGAGCTAGTTAATGGACTTAGCCTCGAGAGTAATTGGCGAATTTAGCTTCTGAGTTACCTAGCGAACTTAGTCTCTGAGTTATTTTGCGATCTTAGTTTCTGAGTTACTTAGCGAACTCAGTCTCTGAAGTGTTAAGAAAACTTAGCCTCTGAGCTAATTACTGGACATAGTCCTTCGAACGAGAGTATCACAGTCGCTCATCACCATAGCATCGTACACGGGAGAATATCCTGGTCTGAGGCTTTGACGATCGAGTGCCAATACTCCCTCTTCCCCTCTCTTCGGTCAACCTCGTGTTCGGGTATCAACTTGGGCGGATGTCCTTTTGACTCTCGCACGGGCAAGATCGTCCAGAGGAAAGGGTCGCGTTACCGGAGTCTCACGACCCCCAGGTCGTCGACCTGTCCTTGCAAGCTCCGACTTGCTGTTCGAACGAGCGGAGCACGTGCGCGACGAGTAGCAACGAGCCCGTTGTACTTCGTCGACGTGATCTCCCCCGACGTCTTTGCCCACCTCTTTGAGGTCATTTTTTTCATCGTCGCACGCATCACCACCACCAGGAGTGCGCGTGTGTCTTCTTCACGTTTCAACGTGTTCATTAAGAATCGAACCTACTCCCACGGCCGGTCAGGACCATCGCCACCGTACCGACTCCGTCTACGTTGTCTGCGTACTTGCGCATTGGCCCCAGCGAGCAATCGACGCCCCGGTACATAACAATATACATGAATAATGGATGATTTTTAATATTAAGAGGAACTAGAGACATCTTTTTTGTTGTAAAAGGACCTATAAAAACATATTTTAACATCAGAAACAAAATATTTTAATAGTAATCCTTAATTTTCATGTTTTTCAGTTATAGGCATAAATACAAGTGTGTCCCCTTAAGTACAGTTTTCTTTCAAGTTTTTCGAGTGTGTAAGTTGGTTTAAGAAAAAAACCTTCATTTCTTCTAAAAAATCATCGACAATAATATGTTCCAACCTGGTGCATAAAGCAGTCGACTTACTTAAAGAGATCGTTTTTGAGTTCAGAGTTCAACCAGATGCATCGAGTGGTCAACCTGATGTAGTAATCGAGTGAAAGAAACCTCGACTTTCTCGAAGAAATCATCTTCGAGAATATATATCAACCTGATGCACCTAGCGAAAACCCTAGTCCGAAAATCGAAAAATAAGTTTTGATTTTCTCGAAAAGATTGTTTCTGGGTCCACAGGTAACTTTGTGTTTGACGTACTTTATTTTACTTAATAAAAAAATAAAATATTCGATTCATACTTTTTAACTCAATACTTGAGTTTTCAACAGACATAAAACTATAATATATATATATAATGACAATTTTTTAATCATAAAATTATATGCACTTTATGTAAACGTTATTTTTTCTGTAAAATTTATCTGACACATTTATGATGAGATTAATGAATGACTTACCTCTAACAGATACTTCCGTTTGCAATGTGATTATTTGTGTTGTGCCTGACAGTACTGTGCATTATCAATCAATATCTTTGAAAATTCTGATAGTTTTTGATACACAAGCTGTAAAAATATCACAGGTATTAAAAACACGAATATAAATAAGTTACCTTATTCAACATGTTAGCTGAACTACCTGGTAGAATTCCAGTTACATTTTTATCACGACTTTTGAGCTCGGTTTTGGACAGGACTATTTGATTAGAATTTCCAAATCAACTTTTTGCGGAATTTTTAAACTCAATTTTCTCGTTCTATAATTTGACTGAAATTCCTACCTTTTCATCGCAAAAATCCTGCTGAAAAATCGAACCCACAAGTCACACATGTTATCTTTTTTATTTTTTTTCTACTCCCATTTTTGGGAGCTCACACGGACCGTCATTTAGACATTACTTTGATTAGGACCGTAGGTAGTACATTTTGGCTACGTCAATATTTTCAGTTAAGTACGTCTCTTATCTATCACATAGTGATATATAGTTGGGCTCAAAGGGGGCTTAATTATTTATAATATTCTATTTACAGTATTAGGCTGTAAAAATGAAAAGAAATTATTTTTGGAAAACAGCCTTTTTCAATACCTTATTTGAAAATACCTTGTCTACTTAGATACTTGCAAACAGTCAAATAGACTGATTTAATTCTAGAAACCTTCAACAATAAGCTTTTGCTGTAAGATAAAAAGTTATAGAACGACAGAAAATACACCCATAAGGTCTTATTTTGTTCGATACACAATTGGCCACCAATGCAACCTCAAGCTAAACATAAGTTGAATTTGAACTACTTTTATACAGGGTGTCACAAAAGTATGGAAACCTCCCAAAAGCGGGCATAATATGCGGAGAAAAAAATCTAAAACCTCATGGCCGACATATTTTTTGATACGGAATCCAATAGTGACTTTGGATTTGACCTTGAACATAACCTCAAAACTACAGCGACACAATAATCAATTTTTCAACTGGAAACCCCTATTTTTCATTGCAAATTTAAAAAGAGCGAAAAATTTTACGTTGAAACATGTATTTCGCTTTTTTCCAAGGTCATTTTAAGGGCGCTACAGGCTCAAATAAAGTTCTTACTTAAGCTTAATTTTAGGTTAAATCGGGGTTTTATTTTCTAACTTTAGATGGACGATTGCACAACGCAACAATAGAAGAGGATAAGGGACATCCAATATTTTTGGCGTCGTATCATCCCGTCACAGATTTAATTATAAGAGATTACTACAATCGGCTGCATCATGCAGTTATTCAAACAACATTTAGTAAACTTCGTCATCGATTTTGGCTGCTTAATGGAAAAAACCAAGTGCGAAAAATTATTCATCATTGCGTGACTTCTATTCGACATCCTGTACCATTACAAGCTCAAATGGGAAGATTGCCTTCATCTATAGTTCGACAAGTTTACGCCTTTGAGAACACTGGCGTAGACGATTTGGGACCAGTTTACATCAAGGAAAGAAAATTCAGAAATCGCACTGGATTGAACGTATATGGAAGCGTTTTTGTTTGTATGTCAACAAAGGCAATTCACATAGAGATTGTTCAGCTTCATGTTTGGCTAAATTCGAAACAATTTCGTGACGATGTTACCAATTTTGCTTCTTGAGAAAATATGACATATTGTCGACATTTTTGGGAACGATGGTATGTGGAATATTTGAGCAAATTACAAAAACGCCAAAAATCGTATTCAAGCTCAGTAGAGCTCAAGATCAACAGCGTAGTGATAATCATCGAAAAAAATACTCCTTGCATGCAGTGGAAATTAGGAAGAGTCATAGAAATTCACCCAGGAACTGATGAAATCGCTCACGCCCACTTGTAAAAAAATTGCATGGATATCCGCGTGGATTAGCTATACACAAGGATTAGACATGGATACCACGCAGATCGAACAAAGATTCCGCCTGGATCTCCAACTCTGGAAGTCGGAGGTTCTCCAACTCTTTGCGGGTACTTCGAGCCGACTCGCGAAACAAGTCTAAAATCCTCAAAGGGTTGGAGAACCACCGATTTAGAATTTTTGTCAATCTATGTATAATCCACGTGGTATCTATGCGTGATCCACGCGGAATCGTTGTCCGATCTGCGTGGTATCCATGTCTAATCCTCATGAATAGCTAATCCACGTGGATAATATATATGCATTTTTTTGCAACCGGGACCATACAAATTGTTTTCCTGAAAATATATGCATGCACGTGAAGTCAGCTAGCAATACTTAATGCTATACAACGCGTCGGTGGGTGCGATACACGGCGATTCACGTAATATTATTGACGGATTTTTATTTTATTCAAACCACCGGCCGGCACGCACGTATTTTGCGGGTTTTATTGTTTATTGCCGTTATATCGACACGTCCACACGTAGTCGCTGCTGAAAGGTATCGTGCTAGAGGGCGCGTGCAGCGCACGCTGGACTCCACGTGCGCGTCGTTGCCGGCCGTCACTGTCGTTCATTAACTCAGAGCTAACACACATATACGACATCCGACATTCAATAAAGAAAGGTTTTTTTTATTTATTTTTTCTCTTAAAACTGTGTGTACTTATTTTCTTGCATTTTCCATCTTCATAATTACAAGATTCGAACGCAAGGAAAGAATCTCGACTGTACACAGTAGTTTTTAGATTTTTGGTTAACCAATATTAGAATTTCATGTACACAAATGAAAAGAAAAAAAAATAAATTAAAAATTCCAATGAATAATTTACCTTCATCGTGATGTTATTTTCAATATTTAAATCATGTCTGATTAGATCCAATTTCTGAAACATTTAAAATTTATAAATAATGATTTCAACCTTTTTCGTCGATTGAAAAGATTATTAAAAAATGTTTAAACTATTACTATAACTATGCAAGTCAAAGATAAGTTATGTCAAGTATAAAAAAATTTTTATTATCACTAAATGGGGACAAAAGGATTTAAAAATATACATAAGATTTATGATTTGATTCGATTCTATTTTATAATATCACTACAAAACTGATAGTATCTTAGTTGTAAGTCCTTCTGACCGATTTGATCGATCAGATAGAGGACTCATATGGGAAAATTTTTAATTTAGAGTAACTTTTCATCTGGCTATGCTATTTCGTGCATATTTGGATGATTTAAATCGATTATTCCTTATAATGGCATCAGTTTTCCAAAAAAAATAAATTTTCCCGGAGAAAATCTATTATAAAGTTGATTCAATTTTCGTCCCGTACAGTAAAACTTCTCTTTAGCGGACACGAATTTGTCCGTTATTGAAAGGTGGACAAAAAATGAACATAAAAATAATGATATAAACTTAAAAATATTGTCACTATGCTTTCATTACTTCACAATGAAATAAAAATAAGTGTTAATAATCAATAACGTATAAAATTGCGAATGTTTTGAATGATTTTTTCGAAATTTTTGTATATTTGTCGGAATATTTCTTAGAGCAGTTTCTGTTAAAATGATTGAATGTACGAAAAAAGTGTCCGTTAACAGAGGTTTCCGCTATTGAGAGGTGTTTTTGTCCGCTTTTCAGAAGGGCTAGTCTGATAAGAAACAATCTATTTTTAAAGGAACTGCATCCTTCAATGGAGGATCATTTTTTATTTCCCAGGTGAAAATAGTATGTCAGATCTGACTCCAGATCTGGCATCAGATCTGGTATAAGATCTGATAAATGTACGCCAGATCTGATACCAGATCTTGTATTCGATAATCGACATCAGAACTTATATCAGATCTGACATCAGATCTGATGTCAGATCTGAAGTGACTGTATTGCCTTTAATTAATTAAACAATAAGTTTATTAATAATAAAAATTGTATAACAAATTTAGTTATATTTTAATATTCACATCGATAATATCTTTAAGAAAAATTCCTACAATATTTAGGTTTCTGATAATGTGAATTTAAATTGATTCAACAACTTTTATTATTAAGATTTATTATAAAATTTTAATTATTAAGGCGGTAAACCACCCTGAACACCAAAAAATTCATGACATTTTCGGGATCGGATATTAAAAAAACTATACTAGATATTCAAATTCGGTAAAAAGCTCTTGTTTATACAACATTTGAACAATGTTTTTCAACATTTATAGTGGCCATAATAAACAAAATGGCAGCTTGGCAGCATAGTCCCTGCGTCGTCTTTATTTTGGAGTGCTTCGGGAGCGGTAGCGTTTTACCCGTAATTTAAAAGTTATGAACATTAGACACGAAAATTTCGAAAGTATACATGAACAGCAACAGAAGTACCTGAGCTTTTGTTTTTTAATCGTTTTTTTACAAAATGGCGTCATTTTTAACAAAAAGTATGAAAAAACACTAAAAATTCCCGAAAAAATTGTTAATAACTTTTAAAAAAATTAATATTTTACAAAACGCCCAGGTACTTCTGTAGAGAAAGTAGTCAAGAATAGACTGTTAAAATTTCAAGTCGATCGGATGAAAATTGTTCGAGATATCTTACCGCCCGACTTTGAAAAGGTGAATTCGAGAAAAAGGCGTTTAAAGTTTAGAGTAGAAGAAAGGAAAGATAAATATGAAATATCTTTTTTGATCTTTTTTGATTGAAGTCCTCGTCCATTTTGTTCTTCCTGGTACTTCTTGACATTATTCTTGCCTCTTTGACGGCTTCAGACAACGAATTTTCCGCTTTCTCGATGCGCTTAGTACGCGGTGTGAACGACTGAGCGGCGCGCGCACGGATGACGAGGCCCGCGCTACATTCAAAATTCGAGCAATTAGAGACTAGATCCACATTTGAAATTTTTACAGGATATTCTTGAGGTGTTAAAGGACTCTTTAAGCAAAAAAAAAAAATTTTAGATTTTTGAAAAATTTTAGGGTGGTTTACCGCCTTAATAAACTTATTGTTTAAATAATTGAAGGCATGACAGTCACTTCAGATCTGACATTAGATCTGATGTCAGATCTGATATAAGTTCTGATGTCGATTATCGAATACAAGATCTGGTATCAGATCTGATGTCAGATCTGGTGTATATTTGTCAGATCTTATACCAGATCTGATGCCAGATCTGGAGTCAGATCTTACATACTATTTTCACCTGGGTTGAACAGCGATTGCTTAAAACTTTGATACTTATTCTCTTAGAAAACTCACGAAAAATTATTTTTATTATACCTACTTGAATAGGAGCATCGGAACAATTATTTCCTTATTCAATCTTTATTTTACACTGAATTGCATCTAATTATTTTACACCGACCGAAAAATATGAGCACGGGCCGGAGTCGTACTGGCGACACATCGCCTCTAGCCGGCGTGTACTCTAACCATCTGAGCTACCGAGATCCTTGCTCACATCATTGTTAAATTAAGATTGAATAAGGAAATCATCGTTTCGATACTTCTATTCGATTAGGTATAATGAAAATAATTTTTTGAGAGTTTTCTAAGAGAATACGTACCAAAGTATTTAGAAATCGCGGTTTAAATAGAAAATAATCCTTCATTTAGGCTTTGCTTGGCAGGTATCAATTCGAGGTACAGCGTCACACTTCCGAAATTAGTCTGTACAATGGTTCAATACATATCATGAACCTCGTTATTTTTAATGTGCGACGACAGTAGATATCACCCGTGGATCACAGCATTTCGGCATTTACTTTGTAACTTTTTCTTTCACGCGGTTACTCTCCTTCGGGTCTCTTTCAACCTCTCTTTGCCGCTGCTACGCAACTTGCGGTTGGGACAACCAAATCAACACAACTTAATCTTGAGGCCAACAGCTATAAACGAAACACTGCAAGAAATGTTTTCCAACATGCTTTGCAGAACATATCTTGCAGTCAAAACGGTACACCATTCCTGATATCTCTTCTACATATTTTTGTTTGAATTTATACTAATCACATTTTTCGAATCAAGAGGAAAATTTAAATTCTGATATTCCAAGATAATTGAAAAGTAAATAAATTTGTATATTTTCAATTTAAATTGCTCTGTACATATATTTATATCCCTACTGAAAAAGTCATGTAAGATTTCATTTAAGAAAACTAAAACCAGTTTATTACAATAAATTCAATTTTTTCGTAATTTTTGTGATTGTTACGCCAGTTGAAAAAAAATGTTTCCACGAGGACTATCCATTGGATAGTATCCAAACAGATTCCGTGCGAAAAGTTCATGGATTCCACGCCCATATCCTTTTTCAGGAGGAAATCTTGGCAGATTTTTTTCAATAACTGTCTACTCATATTACACATGTAATCCATGCACTATTCACGTGGTTTTCATGAATTCTGCGAGGATAATTCTTATGAAAATTAATGCATTTTTTTCACTTGATATAAATAATAATAAACAATAGGAAGCTTTACACAATTTGTTTAAATGAAGTGAAAATATTTAGTAATATTTTTTATTGTGTAAAATATACCTCATTTAACTTTTTTACATGATTTTTCAAGTGTTCCTTTAATGTCTGAAAACTAGCAATTTTCCTCTTAATGATTCAATACTCATTTGAATTAAGAAAAATGTAATTTGGAAATTATTTATATAATTAATGTAAATTAAGTACACAACCAAACTTCATAAATTACCTAATCTTTTAATTTAAAATTCACATGCATTTTATGTTGGACCTGAATGATAAGTTTGTGTGAAATTCTGATAAACTATCCAAGTATAATTTATATACATTTTATAAATAAACTTTTAATAATAAACAATTAAGATTACAGTCATTTTATGGCTATTAAGTAATTGACTATTGAATTGTTGACTGTACTGTATAGGACTGACCCAGTCAAAAAAAAATTAAAACTAATATTTCAACATGATCATCTATTGCAAATAATTTTATCACAATTATGTAGTTCTTAAAAATAGCATGAATGATTTAATTACTAGTCAATCTGGCATAGATAGAAAATTTCCGTGCTAATTACTTAACTTTGTAGCAGTCATTTCTTTTTATTTTTTAAATATTTATATTAATGTGCAAGCACAGGTAACTATTAACTAGGTACATAAATTGTACTAAAATTAAGAAAATTCAATCTAACATATTTATTTGTCACATATTTTTATCTATTATTGGATTAGATAGTATCATTTTTGAAAAGCACAAATATAAATTATTTGCAGTAAAGATATTATTTTATTGATAACACATTTTTTCAAGTAAACACTAAATGCATACTTCAAAAATTATAAAAATCAAGCAAAACACAAAATTTAATCAATGGAAATGACAGCAAAACAAAATGATATATTTTTCATGCAGAAAAAATAACATCCTTGTACTCAGATACTATTATAGTTAATAAACCACCAATTTATAATGATTTGTTGCAGGGAATATTTGAAAAATTCATGCTCTATGCAAGTAATTATAGTTTGTTATTTACAAAAATAGTTATCAAAAGCTTTCAATTTAGTACCTTATTTTAAGATATTTTATATCATGTAATTACAATATTAGAGCTCTAGATTCATCCAGAGATACTATAAACATTTTATTTTATTGTAAATCACACAGAGCTCGAAAATTTATACACCAATTTATATTTTATTTTATGTACACTAAAATTCTAAATTTAAACGTAAAAGACTATTCTATTTCCATCAAAATATCTATCATTGAGCCATATATGTGTAAAATGCTTTGAGACCTTAGGAACGAGAAACATGGAATTATAGAGTTTAATAAAGTTGTGTGGATAATACGATACCGTAGTAGCTACGCCCCCAATTTATTTTTTCTTTTTAGTATTAAAATAAAAATTAGTTTTGATATTTAAAAAATCAACTTATGTAAATGTTATATGACTTTATTCATGAGAAATCGATTCGTGTATGTATGATCCACGTCGAATCAATATATGTTAAATCCAAGGAGAATCTGCACGTTAAGCAGAAAGCTCGAAAATCCATATAATTGTTTTTGAAGTGCTAAAAGTCCTTAATATAATTCGAAACAAATAAGCTTCCTGTAACAAATATAAAGCTGAATTGTTAGCTGTGTTTTCAGCTATTTATTTTTCTTTATATTTTTAGCTGGATTTTCCAGCACTGTCGCTGAATTTTTTTTCCTATAAATCTTGCTTAAAATTAAATAAAAACTTTTTAATAAATAATTTTGTAATTATACACTATATTTCAAAGCAACTTTGAAATTACGAAATTCGTGTAGGTATACGTTATTATTATGTTGCTTGAAATCGCTGTATCTGGAAAAACGATTTTAAGATTTTGTGGCAAAGCTTGAAACATTCTATTCTAAAGGTGTCTAGTTCGAATCTTTCCTAAAATTTTTTTGGTAGAAAAATAAATTTCCTCCATTTTATTTGGTAACTCGCAAGTACAATGGTAGTCTATGAGGAACATTGATCGGGGTTCACTTGGCATGCGCGATTTTCCACATGAGATTTAAATGTGAACGTTCAGTCGTGACTCGTGATTCAGCTCGCTAAGTCAAAGTTCACTCAATTAGACCTAAGGTAAAGGTAAAAATGAAAAATACATGACAAATCATATATTTTCATCTATTTAATTTTTTAAATCCCACTCTGTTTAATGTTAAAAAAACAATTGAGCAAAGTTTGATCAAAGATATCAAAAACTCTACAAGATACAGCAAGTTGAACATGAAAAAATTAAAATAATTTTTTTGCGCATTTTTCATGAAAATTGCGTTTTTCTCAATGATGCTGTCATTTTAGGGAAAAATAAATGTAATATTCGGATGCAGTGCGACCAAATTTACGTAAGCAATCATGTCGTTTATCATCTAAGCTCTCGTGGTCGGTTCATCTCATATCTTGACGTTTTTCGGCGACCTCCCGCTCGCCTATATTTGGTCTGTAATGCAGGAGACGAAATCTTACTAAACAGTCATTGTAGAAAACCTCTTGACTCGCTACAAGTTTGTTGCCTCATTTTTTGAACTATAAAGATTCAGGATTGCTCGTGTCATGACTTTTATATAATATGTAAACATGCTCTGAGGGGCTAATTGGTACAAACTCAATCTTGGGCGTGGTAAACTCTGTGCACTATTACTTCCATTGAACTGTTGACAGTCATGCAAGACTATCCGAATTGAGCTCAAAGTAATTTTATAAAATTCGAGAATCATTTTAGTTATAAAAATGAATTACTAATTTTGTGCAGTGACAGAGTTGATTGTAATTTAAAGTGTAAAACTTCAGTACTGAAATATACCCAATCTTAAGAAAATTTGTAAAAATGAAGAAAAGATCTTTAGCTGGTAACGTTGGGATAGGGATATTTTCAGTTGGATTTATTTGCATTTGTGTAGCTTTTTTTACATCATCTTGGGTTGTCAGTGATCCAAGGATTACTAACTCTCGACTTGAAACAATTGGTTTATGGAGACAATGTTTTAAATCACTGCCAGATCCTGTCAGGGCAGATGCACCAAAACGATATTTTGCTGGTTGTAGATGGGTTTATGATCCTTTTACCACAGGATATTCAGAATTAATAGGCTTTCTATTACCACGTAAGTATTTTTTTAATATTTATAATTTCAAGTTATCCATTAGTCATGTGTGGCATACATTCATTTTTATATATTAAAATAATATAATACATGATGTTACTTAAAAATCGATGCTATTAAGCATATCATATTTATTTGTTGAAAATTTTGAAATTTGAAATTAAGTTCACTTGATTCAATTAATAACTATAATTGACTAAAAGATTTTTTCAATTCATCTTAACAGTATAATAGTGAGGATCTCAGTTTCTGACAGCTTTCTCTACTATCACAGTTATTTTAGTTGGACTAAAGCTATACATTTTATATAAAATATGTAAATGGAGAGCAAAGGCATAATAAAACACTTTATCATGCATAAAATTTGATATCATAGGAAAATTAAAAACAATTTTATACTTATATTTTTAAAAATATTAATTGCAACTTTATATGTTATATTTTAAGATAAAATATTTCAAAAAAATCATTCAATTATCATTCATTGATTCATTCATCCATTCATTCATTTAATCATTTGTGCCACGCGTTGTTTGAAAATAGTAAGTTCAAAAGTTTATCATAATTTTAAGAAAGTATCATAACACTTTATATTGGATTATTAAAGTATTATTTTTATGCTTTTAAAATGCATTTGATATGGATGTGATAATTGTAGATTAATAATCAATTGATTTTTTGTGATGCAAAATATTACATTGTTTAAATAACTGCAATAAAAGGATTTTTGAATTAATGATATTGATGGATGTTGAAGACGGCCAAAAAAAATTTCAATATCATTTTTATGAAATTTTCATTAAATATTTTTCTATCAAACTTGATGGCGAAATTAATTTTGATATTCTGAAGGGCGCAATAGAGCTTATTATGGAAGTATTTAGAAAAAGTTTCATACAGACCGAATTAAAAATTCTCTTCTTGGGCTATGGCTTTGCCATCCTCTAAGCTGAAACTTTTGTTGACAGGTATTTTTACTTTGCATTTTTATTTGCATAATCACAAAAAAGTCTTATAGCCATTGTACCATTAAAAATCTTATTCAACTTAAGTTTACTGTGTTTACTGATGCTTAACTACTGAAGAGTGGGTATTATTTTAACTATTTTTTACCTGACAACAGAAAAAGACTTGTTACACTACATTCTGATAAAATTAGTCGTTTTTCGCAGAATTTTACAATTTTATTCTATTTGAAGATTGCTAATGTGCCAAAGTCATAACAATTTTTTAAAAAATGTCCACCCACAAGTTGTCTTTAAGCATGTCTAAGAGAATTTTTATTATTCATTCATATTTAAAAAAGTGAAAATTGATATTTAATTTTGCACATATACCTTGCCGATCTTTTAAGAGAATACATATAGCTTCAAATAAAAAGAGAATTGAATTGTAATTTCGAGTAGGATTTTTTCTTGCCTTTTCACAGCATTTTTCTAAATTCCAAAATTTTCATTTTTAACTGAAATATAGCCGTTTTTGTAAACCTTTTTTCACAGCAGCGGCCCGAAAGTGACTACTTCCCTGCCGCTGCGCAAAGAGAGAAGAGCGATTTTCGGGCCACTGTGTATGAAAAATAGTATACAGGCCTATGGCGCGAAAAAAAAGCCCCAGAGCACGTATTTATCGGCCTCAGCTTCGCCTTGGCCACTAACTACACGTATTCTGTGACTTTTCTGTTTTTCGCGGTCTAGGGCAGTAATATACTATTGTTTTCTGGTGAGTCGTGTTTTTGATCACTTGGAACAAGATTCAGAGCGAACCCCTTTAGCTACAGCACCAGTGTCGCGTACACTTCTTCAGAACCTCAATGGTCACAAACGTAACCTCGGGCGAGACGATCCGACCCATAAGTCACCCTACATAGACATTCGAGTCCACAGATTGCTTCCGATGAGTAGTTGTATGGTGAACATTACGAAAAATAACGTAAAATGAAAAATAAATGGCATTCGAATGTCTGTGCAGGGTGACTTATGGGTCGGATTATCTCATCCAAGTTTACGTTTATGATAGATGTTCTGAAGAAGTGTTTTTACAAAATGTTCTTACCACGGCACTAGCACCCTCGCTTCGCTCGGGTGCTAACCGTGCCGTGCAATAATGGCCTGCTTAAGTCACACGTATCATAATATACTATTTTCGATCATCAACTTGTGATTTACAATATTTCATTTTTTATTTTTCAGCATTCATGATTGCAACACAGTTTTTTGCTACGCTCTGCTTTTTAGCGTGTGTAATATCACTCGGCCTTATAATATTGTACAGTACATGCTATGATCCAGAACAAAAGTATTACTTGAGGTTGATTATGATAATCGCTCTACTACAAATATTTGGAAGCATTAGTGGTTGCATTGCAGTAATTATTTTTGCAATGAATGGCAACAAAAGCGGATGGATGCCTGGACACGAAAATAACTATTTTGGTTGGTCTTTTGCACTAGGAGTAATTGGCAGTATTCTTGGTTTAATTGCTGGAATCCTCTTCTATGCTGAATTATACATCCAAAAAAAGAAAAGAAAACATTTGAAAGAATCTCAATCAAGATTTCCACTTCAATCATAATTATAATTGAATATGAGATCATGAAAAAAAATTCGTCCTTTTACATTCTATTTTATATGTAAAATGTAAAAATTGTGTAGTACAAAAAATTAATCCGTCCATTCACTTATTTTGTAAGTTAAAAACTATATATTGTAAATCGCAAAATAAAAAACTATCCGTCCATTGTTTTTTACTTTTATGGTAAATAAAAATTATGTAATTAAAAAATCTTGTCTATTTTTCTTTCAACATCTTTACCTTATTTATATGAGTCATTTCACGTCAAGTCTCCTAGCGCGGCGCCCGCGCGGCATTATTAATCGAAATTGTTCAATTTGTAACTCGCCAGAAAAGCACCTAAATGCACCCAGAAAAAATATGTGCCATATGATTTTGATAGGAAATTTCCTCAGCTTTCCGATGATGAGGTCAGATTTTCCAAAATTTTCCATTTTCCCCGGAAAAACTTGACATAAACTTTCAAACTCAAATATCTCAAAAACGGCATTTTTAAGATTTTTTTAAATAGTGCCAATCAAAAGCTGAGGAAATTTCCTATCGATATGCAAGTTTTCAGAGTTTCGGCCCGTGCGGCAGCTGTTCCCGCGCGCAGTACCCCGCGCGGCGCAAAATCTCACGTTTTTACACGTTCGTCGCTGTATTTCATTGAGTAATTATCAAAAGTACTCTCTGAAAACTTGCATATCGATAGGAAATTTCCTCAGCTTTCGATTGGCACTATTTAAAAAAATCTTAAAAATGCCGTTTTTGAGAAATTTGAGTTTGAAAGTTTATGTCAAGTTTTTCCGGGGAAAATGGAAAATTTTGGAAAATCTGACCTCATCATCGGAAAGCTGAGGAAATTTCCTATCAAAATCATATGGCACATATTTTTTCTGGGTGCATTTAGGTGCTTTTCTGGCGAGTTACAAATTGAACAATTTCGATTAATAATGCCGCGCGGGCGCCGCGCTAGGAGACTTGACGTGAAATGACTCATATTCGGGATTTCTTGATCCATGCTTGGCCTGCTTGATCCCGAAAAGGCGTCAGCATATGACAGATTTGATTTGCCCAGATTCCTTGGCGAAGAACCATTAGATGATGCTACGTTGGTTGGGGTATTTCTTCTAGTCGGGTGCATCTTTTTCTCTCAGAGGGGAAGGGAGGGGATTTCTTTTTGGGCAGCCTTTGTAGCTGGCTGAATGATTACCGCTGCAGTTGACGCATTTCTCATTACATCCTTCGATTTTCATTTAATAGTGCAAGCTGAGATGAGGTGATCCCCTGCACATTTGACGCAAGCTGACGTCTGGTAGCAGTAACTTTTTTTATGACTGAATTCCTGTCACCTCATACACTGGGCAAGATCTCTAGCTTTCTTGTTGGCTCGAATGTGACGATCATATTCCTTCCTCTCAGAAGCATGCCTTCTTGGAAGCATAATTCTGTGTGAAATATTTTGTAATTTTGGATGGACTGGTCCCATATATTTTCGTACAATACTTTTTTGACCAATAAAATTTTTTGATCTTTCTTAGATTCTTGCTTTATTTCATTCAGTGATACTGCTATAGGTCTACTATTCGGACCGAGAGTTAGCATGGTGGGGGTATACGATGTCAGCGCTGCTTCGCGTGGTGGCAGACTCAAGAAAAAAAACAGGACGCTTTTACATGCTTATACATTAGTTAAACAATACAAGTGATTTAAAAATTGCCTTCTCATGTAAATTGTTGCGTTATCAACCGCGGTAATACGTAGAGAAACACTGATATTAAATTTTATTAATTTCCTTATTCCCAAAATAGACTTAACCACCGGAATGAGTGGATCAAAACCGTTAGAAGGAATAAGTATGACATAACCTCATTTTCATAAGTTTGAGTGCTGTCAAATAGAATAGGGTAACTGTGCCAATACCCGGCCACCCACCAATACCCGGACACTTTTATTCAAGTCATATAAACATTTGAACAAATAATAAAATGATACAAATGGTATGATCGAGTTAAGTATTATTCACGAAGTGAAATTATCGTTTTATATAGTAATTTTTAATTAAATTAATGGAATCATATAGTATTAAAAAGTGGACGGATATTGGCGCAAAGTGATTTTTCTTAAGACTAATTACCGGCCACTTTTTAATTTAAATTTACGACGTTTACAGTTTTTTTTCCAAACTCTCTTTGTGAATTTCGACATATTTGAGGGTAGAAAATGGCCGGGCAATAGAACATCACTTCTTAGCTGTCCGGGTATTGGTTCAGTCACCCTATATGCAGACTTACGCTCACAGAAATCGTTCGCGCAGTTTCAAACTCAAGATTGACATAACCTTTTTCGAAAACTTTCAGCGCAACTTTTTCACAACAGAAACGGCTGATACTGTTTTGAACTAAAATGTATCTTCGAGTTTAATCATAAAGAATTTGAAATAATGTTTTGTTTGTACGAAAAGATACTTTTATTTGGTTTACATAAAATTACATAAAATTGAACTCATGTTCTACTTGACTCAATGTATAAGCGTCCTGTTTTTTCTGCTAGGTACCACGTGACCAATAATCATAATCAACGCTCGAGGCGAATACTCAATGACGAGATTGATGTAATTCTCATCGTCAAACGGTTTTGTTTTTATTTGGCACAGACGTGAAAGAGGATCCGCAATGTTTGATTGGCCGAGTTTGTAAATAGTTTTATACTTGTAAGCCTGTAATCTCAGGACCCACCTTTCAATCCTGGCACATGGTTTAGATTTTTCACCAAAAATTACTTCCGTGGTTTATGGTCTCTTATTAATTTAAACGGCTTACCAAACAGATATACCTTGAAATGTTCTACTGCCCATACCAAAGCAAGAGCTTCTTTTTCAGTTTGACAATACCTCTTTTCACAATCTATTAAGCTTTTGTTGCCAAACGCGATCGTTCGTGGACCATGTTGATCAATTTGAATCAAAAGTTCACCTAAACCTACTGTCGAAGCGTCAGCCATGACTTGCGTTTTGTTATGAGGACTGTAATACCCAAGAGTGCTTATTTTTTGTAGACTGTCTTTAAGTTTTTCGAACGAATCCTGATGTTTATCTGTTAGATAATCTGATATTTTGGTTAACTTGTGTAATTTTAATCTTAGCAGTTCCCTAAAAGGTTCTGTGAGTGTTGCCAAGTTTGGAATCCATTTCCTAACGAAGTTGACAAGTCCTAAGAAACTTTGGATTTCTTCGATTGTATTTGAATGGATACAATACTATTTATATACTTTTTTAGAGGTTGAATTCCGTGTTCTGATAACTCATGACCTATAAATTGTACTAAATCAGCTCTGTATATATAAGCACTTCGCTTCGTTTAGTTGTATATCATTTTGCTTCAATACCTCCTGCAGTTGATTTAATCTCAAATCATGTTCTTCTTTGTTTGTGCCATACACAAGTATATCATCAATAAAATTGATTGTTCCTTCGCATTTTAGCAGTATCTTTTCTAAGATTTTTTGAAAAATTTCCGGGGCACACGTGATGCCGAAAATCAAGCGCTTATATCTATATAATCCTTTGCTGGTACAAAATGTAGTAATATCTAGAATTTTCGTGGATGTCAATTTGATTGAATGCGTTTTTAATGCCTGAAAAATATTTAGCACCTCGTAGATTCGGTAATAACATTGTTGGCTGAGGATGATTTTCTCGTTTTATTGCAGCATTGGCTCTTCTCATATCTATGCATATACGCACCTCGTCATTTTCTTTCAGAATTGGTACCATCGGTGGAACCCATTTTGAAGTCCCTTTCACTTCTTCTATGATACTATTTTGGAATTCTTCCAGCTTAGAATTTACCTTTTCTTTCAATGGAATTGGTATTCTTCTGTGTGGTTGCATGACTGGTTTTTCTTTACGATCAATAGGTATTTCGACAGATATATTCTTGAATTTAGGGAATTCTGTTGAAATATTATTAACATTAATTCTAAGTTTTAGTACTCCTACAGCGATGACAGTGTTTTTCCCAAGTAGATTGCGGCTTCCATCTTTAATAACGTATATTTTAGTTGACAGGTTTTTCCCATTTAGTGAGATTTTTGTCTCAAACGATCCAATGATAGTCAATGATTTATTACTACCATGTGGCTTCAGAACTTGGTTTGGATTTTTTTTCTGATTAAAAGCTTGTACCTTTTGAGATTTCAAATATTCCCACGTTTTGTCTGTAGTTATATTGTGCTTACTACCTGAATCAATTAGCATTTGTATGATTACACCTCCAACTGAGCATTGAACTACTGAGTCGTCATCATCTAAGTGAAACACATAATCAACTTCTGTATTGTCTTTATTTTATATGTTCTGGCACTATGCTCTTGATTTGTTTTAAATTTGTTTTTGGTTCGTTTTGAACGACACTGCTCTCTGAAGTGGCCAACAAAATTGGCACCTTTTATCTATAGTTAGACATTTTTTGTCGTCTCTAAATGCTTTTTGCTGACACATGATCGTGTACAGTATTCGACTTTGGCTCGTTTTGAACGAGGATCTACTGAATGAATTTTGTTTATGATATTTTGATTATTTTCATGTGGTGACTTATTTGTAAAAATGTCTACCCCTAGGAAAAAATCGCGAAATTCTTGCAAAATTCTTGCAGGAATTTCGCGATTTTTTCCTATTTTTGCAGGAATGCGGGATTTCTGCAGAAATTCTTGCAGGAATTTCGCGATTTTTTCCTATGGGTATCTGTCTATTCACTGCCTCCAAGGAATTTGCTTTCTTGATTTTATCCAGTGTTATTTGATCGCCTTGAGTCAGAATTTTTTTCTCAAATCAACAGAGTAACATTTTTTTGTTATTTGGTCGATAATATTCTCGTCCTTATCCACAAATTGGCATTTTCAGCTTGGTCACGTAATCGAACCAGAAATCGCTCAAATTTTTCACCGTTTTCTTGACTCAACTTTCGAAAAATATGACGTTCGTAAACTTTGCTTCGTTTTGAAGCAAAATGATCGTCCAATTTACAAATCGCAATTGCATACACATCATTGTATTCTGTTTCGTCAACATTAGCACCTGGGATGTTATAAAATACTTCTTGTAAATTCAGATCTCCTATGTGTAAGAGACACACGCTCTTTTCTTGACAGATTTCTTAACATTTGAAGCCAAGAGAAATATGTTCAGAGATCTTTTCCACTTTTCCCATTGGACACTGACCCATGCAGGGTTTCCGTCGCAATTGACGCTCTCCAGCGTCACCGGCATTGAGGTTGTTGGATGCATTATCTGAAACATGATTCATTTGTAACTACTTGATCGTTACTTACCATTCAGCTATTATGCTGCGTGGCCCTTGCTTAAGTGCACAGCTTTATGCTACTTGGCCCTTCAGATACATTACAAAACATTTCTCATATTCAACGATTACGGTTTTGGTACGTTTCGTACTCTGTATGATTAGTCGCTTTTTGCGCGTTTTTAGTTGAGTTTATAACCTCTGATTTTTTCCCAACGATGAAAATCACATTTCCCGTTAGTTCTACGCGTTCTTACCTAGTTTGTCCTCGTCGCCAACAATCTCGTGCTTCACAAACTTATAGTTAGGACCAAGACGAATTTGTTTTACAAAGTATACTGTAACGATTCTTCATTTTTAAATGATTTATGTAACGTAAGTAATACTATTTTAGCATTTCGGCAATCCGAATTTTCTGAAAATTCCCTTATAAAAATGTCCTATAGGATCCCTCGAAATTTCTACTGGAGTCCTATAGGATCCTATAGGATTTATAATCATATAGGACTCCAGTAGGAATTTTACGGGATCCTATAAGAAATTTTTATAAGAGCTATGTAATACAAATCACTGAAATCATTTTGAAATCTTCGTACTTTCAATTTTATCAAAGAATTCATTTATTTGCAAAATTGATGCCAAATGAACACGGATTTATTAATTATTGTATTTCATTTACTAATGCTTATTTGAAGAACTGCACATAGATAACATATATCGATCGAAAACTTAATGAAAATGACGAAAAGAATTTTTTGATTATTCAAATTTATATTTGTTTGTATTAAAAAATTACTATTTAATTTATAAACAAGTTTGCAGAAACAAAATCGGCAGTTGAAATTTTACTTTAAAATCCTTCAATACTTTCTTTATCTCTAATACTGAAAAATTAATATGTATTATTAAAAATGTTACATTGAAAAATTTTGAATTCATCAACAGCTTAAATTTTCGAAAATTCTAAATAAATTAAATATTATTTGCATATAGATACTATAATTTTATAATAATAATTGATCGTTTTAATATATTTAAACATATAAAAACTAAATTCAAAAAACGATTCGAACTTGAAGTTTTTTAGATGACGCAGTTTATTACTCATTGTGGTGGGAGCATTTTATTACAGATGGTCAAAGCGTGACCGTGAGTCAGGGAATAAGTTTACCCAAATAAAAGTGTTATCTTTAATTGTTACAATGTTATTAATATCATTGTATTTTAATTTATTATAAAAAACGCTTTATGTATAAGCCACACCCGCGTTTAAAAATGTTTTTTGATTATCATTTAATCTTCTTAACATAATTTGAAAAAAATTAAGTTTTCTTGGAAGGTTTAAAGAAAATGAAGTTGTTTTGGTTATCGTCAAAATTATTACTTCTTGTGAACCTTTGTTTTTGTGGTATCCCAAGTGAAATTTCAGACTATCCTACGAATGAAGCAATCGTAAGATATCTGCTATTTATTATAATATCGTTAAAATACTTTATATGCTAAAAATGGAATATGTATATTAATTAAAAAATATAAAATAGTACCCTCGATATTTTTTTTCAGCCCTCATTTGATTATATACGCCAAATAGTGGCTATTAACTTCACCAATAATTTTTAATTAGCCTCAACAATCGTTTAGGACTATTTTTTGATATATCAATAATTTTTTAAGGTTTTTTCACTTGTTACAAATAATGAAAAATAAAACAACTTGAAAAATTTTTTTTTTTTCCTAAAATTTTAATCAAATTTTGTTCCAAATAAAATTAGAATTTAAAAGAAATAAAATTTATAATTGTGAATAAACTGGAAAGTGAAAAGTATTTAAAGTTGCTGTAAAGAAATCAGTAACTAAATTGGTTAGATTCATCTGAAAACTTAATTTCAATGGTGACTCATATTTATTCTACAACTACAAAACTAATTACGTTTTTATTCGAGGGTCAGATATTTGTATTTAATCACAAAAAATTGCAGATCGGATTATGTGTTTTTTTCATTCTAGTTGAAATGTATGCAATAAGCGCATAATCTTGTTAGAATTGTCTCGATTTTGGGTGCGGTTTCGGTTCATACTAGATCTGGCACAAGTTCTCGTGTCGATTATCAAGAGTAAGACTTACAACAAGTTATCGCACAATATCTTGGTCTAGATCTGGTACTAGATCTAGAGTTAGATCTAGAATCAGATCTAGAGCGATATTTTCACCTGGGTCAATTATATAATTTTACTAAACTAAATTTGATTATTAAGTGAGTTAATTTTTTTAGACATAAAGGATGTCAAGAAATTATTAAAAATTATAATGTTAATAATTATATTTTTTAAACGCATTAAAAATCCAAAATTTTTGCTGATGATTGATGCTAATTTATATCGGTTCGTACTTTTATGTGTAATGAACATTGTGTATATAACATAATAAATAAGTAATAGTAGAAAGAAAACTTTAGCCTCATAATTTGAAATATTAGTTTTGTAATAAGTAGAAGGTTGATGAAGAGAAAAACAAGAGGGGCGATTTTCACTCAAACTGATTGTAATTTATTATAGTTTCCTCAAGTCACAGAAATGTACTGTACAAAAATATAACCCTGACTCTGGTTAAGATCACTTGTAACTCTGAAAAACAACTTAGTTAAGAATTAACAATAAAAAAAGGCAAAAATAATCAAGTACGCGGAGGCACGTAGAAAAAGCTGCTTGCTAGTTAAACAGTGTCGCACGAGCGTCAAGCTAGTAGTGATAGCCACGGGCCCTTCGCACAGATAGCCGCGCCGCTGGTGCAGAGACGGCTTTATCGCGAAGTGCCGCCCTCTTTACAACGCCAAGGAGATCTCTACGATAATTATCTGCACATTTACAGTTTCAGTGCAATGACAAATACATTCACTATAAATCCCAACTGTGCCGTTAGTTTTAGGCTCTTGTGCTATAAAATATTGTACGCAACTTGTATGAGTAAACTATTTTAGCAAAACTTTCTGGCCTTTTGCTCGTGCTGCAACTCCTCATTTTGTAGAAAAAGCATATTCACACCCGTCGCATAATAGTAATTTACGATACGAGTGCCATAAGTAACACTTTTTGGCACGACGTAGTTTAGGGCCCGAGCGCAGCGATGGTCCTAATAGCTGGGCCGAAAAGTGTCTCTATTCGCTATCTGCGTCAGTCAAGGGAAGAAAGCGGGAAACGACCGAAGCCCTTTCGGCAAATCGTTTTTAGGAGTGTAATGACGTCGTTGGATCTCTTTTTCTTATGGCCTAGGCACTGCCCAATAACCAATAGCCTCTTAGATCACCTTCGAGTTATCTTGGTTATAAGTGTAGAGTTAAGCGTGCTAGAGCGGCGGCAGCGTGGGCATTATTGTCCTACTCGAGGATTATCGGCTGGTACAAGCACACCTGTCGGTAAGGAAGATAGTTGTTTGTGTTTACAACGTCAGGTGTTGTCAGTTGGCGGATGATATTATTGATGGGAACAACAATTATTCTGTGCATATTTTTTTTTTTTTTTTTTTATAGATAGAGAAATGCGTTACGCACCGTAAGGAGGTTTGAGTTGAAATCAACCCCGAACCTCCCCGTGTGTGGGACTCGCCCTCAACCGATTTGCGTCGGTGAGGGAATACCCACTAAAACTTTATCTGCCCAAGCGATGGAAGTGCTCGGACGCGGCTTTATTTCGTAGTGTTGTCTTAGATGGTGGGAGACCACGTTCTCCAAAAGATGTGCGCGAGATGATGTCAAGGCTACCCTATGCCTTCTCTTTGACCTGCAGAGTTAATACCTGTATAACCACTGATGTGCGTGGTCATTTTATTCCACCGGAGCCAATTCATGTACGAACCACGGAGAGCTCTAAACGTGATGGAATCCAAACATTTGCTCAATCCGAGTTTGCACAGACTCGCGGCGGAAGCAGCGGACCAGATATCCCGCCAGGAAATCGTGATCGAAGAGAACGAGATGTTATCGTTCTCGACCCCATACTCACTGGTGACCTGATGACGAATGTCAGGGGTATCATACTTGGCGACTTTCCGACGGTGCGAGTCGTCAAGGGACGATGAAGCGCTGATGACTTGCGCATCGATGACCTTGACAACCTGATCCTTTACAGCGACGATACCTGGCTTCCGCAAGCCCTCTCTGTTATGAAAGTGCGGCTCCTGCCGGACGCTCCATCCCAACTGCCGGAGGCTACTGACTGCGATATGGCAAATTGCATCGTGTCGCAGTATTCGGCCTCCATGAGTGCGGTGACAGCCCTGAATGACGTGAGCTGCGGTTTAAGTAGTACCACAGCCCGCTCGACACTCGATAGGCGGGCCACCGACTACGCGTCTGCCACGCGATGATGTTCGAACGGGAGTTGGGAGAGTATTGACCCGTACGTGATGGAATTGTACGTAGTCTCGTCCGGAGAGGGCCGCGCTGTTACGGTCTACCCACGAGTGGCTCGCACGAACACGAGCACACTCGGAGAGTTTCTTGCCATCATTCGCTTGATGAAGTAGCGAAGCCCAGTACTTGCCACGAGCCTCCTGGTCGATAAGGGGCCGCCCATGAAAGGACAGCGCCGTTTCGGCCCATCGGATTGAAGCCTGCACCGAGCGATGACAAAAGACACCTCTAACGGCGGCACAGGAAGACTCAGCCATATCCGAAAGCCTTGAATGAACCAAGGCCGGAATAGCTGTTCGGAAAGATGAAATTCCGAGTCCCCCGTCTAAACACTGTGCGTGGAACTGGAAGTATCCAATGGGATCATCTTTTGGTAGCCGTAACCACTTGCGAACCGCAGCGCGTACTTGCCGGTCAAGACTCTTAAGAGTTTGAAGATGGCATCTCGACAAGACTAACTGATGGTAAAATCGCGGCACGAGGAAGCAGCGTAAGATCTTTAAACGCTGCTGGGGCTTTAGAGGAGCCGAGGCGATGTTAGCCAACTCCCGAACTAAAGTACCCCCGGGCTTCCGGATACCAAGGGGAGAAAAATGCACCCCAAGGTATCTAAAGCGCTCGGAGACTGTAAAGCGTTAGCTTATATGAAGTTCTACTGTTTTTCAAACATATTTCTGTTAATATCCAAAATTTCAGAAAAATAATAGCACCATTAGATTCCTGGTTAAATGTTACTTTCATAATGATTGTCAACTCGAAAAGAATGACGGACAAATTATTGATAATATCGATTCGAGGAATAAATATCATGTCACGGTGAAGCGAGACTGTTTCACAGTTGCCGCGATACTGCTCAACTCGAGTGTTTGAATAATTTTACACTCATAGTTTTTAGTACAAGGTACGCCTATTCTCTCCGAAAAACGCTTTTTTCTGCCACACCGCAGCACCAGCAGTTAAGGTAAATATTGTTTTTTTTTTCAAGGTTATTTAAAGGGCGTTGTAGACGCAAATAAAACCCTAATTTAACCTAAAATTGAGTTCAAGTAAAGGCTTTTTTTCTCATTGTACCGCCTCCTTAATGGTCTTAAAAAAAAAAAAAACAAATACATAGTCGAACGTGAAATTTTTTGCTCTTTTCAAATCTGTTATAAAAAATGGAGGTCACCGCGCGAATAATCGATTTTTGGTTCACCCTAGCGTATAGGTTATGTTCAAAGTCAAATAAAAGGTCACCATTGAAAAGAGCGTAAAATTTTACGTAAAAATATGTATTTTATTATTTTTTTAAGGTCATTTTGGAGGCAGTACAATTAGAAAAAAAGCCCTTACTCGAACTTAATTTTAGGTTAAATTGGGGTTTTATTTGCGTCTACAACGCCCTTAAAATGACCTTGAAAAAAAAAAATAAAATACATGTTTCAACGTAAAATTTTGTGCTCTTTTCAAATCTGCAATAAAAAATGAGGGTTCTATTCGAAAAATCGATTTTTGGGTCACTGGAGCTTGAAGGTTATGTTCAAGGTCAAATTCAAGGTCACCATTGGATTTCTTATCAAAAAATACGTCGGATATGGGGTTTTTGATTTTTTTCCTACGCTTATTCAGCGAAATTTCCAGGTGTATCCATACTTTTGCCGCACCCTGTATATAAAATGTTCGTCACAATGTTCGTCATGCTTTCAGAGGCAATGAACATTCTAATCTTGCCTCTGATGAAATGATTCCTATTACCAACTCTACTATAAAGCACATGAAAGAGAATAATGAACTAACCAACAATTCCTGAGTTATTGTGCCTTAAGGGGCTATTCTACTTTATCCATTTCAAAAAATCGATTTTTTTTTTATTTCATTTTTCGAAAGTAAATGTCTTTGAAAATATTGTGTCAAAATTTCAGAATGATCAAAGCCTTCTAAGTATACTCTTTGCAACGGCACGCATCTCTTAGTGCGCGTGTACGCTTGTACCAGTATAATACGCCTGGCAGCTACACCTCTTTTTTCGAATCTTGGCTCATTATATACATATAATCAGATGTTGTAACGTACTGTATAGGCTTATTATAAGCGCTGAGCACGTGCTTGTAGATGATTTTGAACTTTAATCAAAGTTTAGCTGCAAAGATGTTTAGGTGGCCACACGCAAAATAATAACGAGAGCTTCAACCATTGCGTGTGGATGATGGCACCAAAACATATTTTTTCCGGTGGTGTAATTGTTGAAATTGCAACCCACATAGTTGCTTGTATCTTCAATGAAGGATTTTGCACCGTGCTAAAAATGATGGATGAGCTAAACTTAAAAATCAGAGCCTATGCCTCTACTTACGCTTAGAAGCGCGACGAGCAGCGCATACGTTTAGCGAACCGCCGTAGCACTGACTTGTCTCAGAAAGATAGAGCAAGCCGCAGAGACACCAGAATGTATGAAAATCAATTTCATGAAGAATCTGAAGGTCGTCTGTATGGCGCCGGTATCGCTGATTAATCGTAAGTATCAAATTTTTAACTATTCGAAAAAAAAACTTTGAACGCATTTTTCTCAAAATGATGTTTTTCGATATGGTCCCAGTGATTTCTCAAAAACTACTGGATCGATTCGTCTGAAATTTTAAACACTTATTTGTTACATATATACGTATGGTTGGAACCAAAATTTTGTCAAAATTCAAATTTTTTCTATTTTTTTATAAGGAAAAACCGAGAAAAAAAAGGTCGTTTTTTATTCCATTTGCTCAAACGGCCGCCATTTTGTTATTTTTGACCCAAAAATGAAAATTTTGGTCCCAACTATAGCCAACCATGCACTGAATAAAAGGCTTTTTTCATTTTGTGTTTCAGATGTTTCATTATTGCTGAATCAGTAGGACAGTGCGCACCTGTTTTTTTTCGTGCCTGCACACATGACTGCATTATACACATATATGTATAGTAAAACTAATAAAAAAAATTTTTTTATATACTTCAATACTACCTTTATCAACCCCAAAAAGATTTAGAATGATACCTGTCATAGATTGCTTAAAAAAAAATTTGCGGAAAATATCTTTTTTTATGGCCGACAAAGTAGAATAGCCCCTTAATTTGGCAGAGTCAAAATGATCGGTATATCAAGGCCAACTAAACGAAATAATTGTTTACCGACAACTATTTACGTTACACTTATTTGTAAGAACGTGACGACAAATGATATTAATTAATACCGGGTGCTTAGTTTTATTAATTTTATTGCGGTAAATCGACTTCTGATTTTTTCAGACGATCTTTATTGATGAAGGTGATTTACGAGCGTCACTTCATACACGAGTATTATATTCACATCTAAAATTCAATAGCATGCATTTATGACAATGTATTCTACTTGAAGTATAATTTAAAATCTTTTGTCATGTTTCAGAATTATTTATCTCGCTATGGATATTTATCGTCAGCTACTTCTGTTAGTGGTGGCTTAATAGCTAAGGATACCATAAACCAAGCTATCATCGATTTTCAGTCGTTTGCTGGAATTAAAGTAACAGGTAATGTATCAATATACACTGCCCGTCAATTACTTTTGCCATACCTGAGCGAAAAATGAGTAAACTTCAAAGTATCGTAGCTCAGTCAAAAAAGTCGGTCGGATCGAAATTTGGGATACGCCATTCGAAAGGTTTTTGCAAGTACTTTAAAGCTATATAAATTGTTTTTGACAACGGGTACCTCGAAAACGACCTTTTTGTTCATTCGCGTGTACACAGCGTTCAAGGGGATGTGGAAAAAAACTTTATATACAAAGAAGGTTGGTTTTTATGTGTACAATAAGAAGCAATAGTTACGATCAGTTTTTGAAAAGTTTTTTTTCGATTTTTCATGCGTTAATCCACTAACGCTCAAAGTGACGAAATTTTTTGTTTGCGATCGAAACGATATTTTTTCATGTTTAAATACACATAATTTTATGTAAAATTGAATTTCCCTTTCAGAATCCAGGCTTGAATTTGAGATTCAATGCTGAGTTAAAAAGTTACTACCCGAAAATCGCCAGCAGATTCCGTGTAGATTCTGCTTGGAAAGTACATAGATTCCACGTAGAAAGTGCACATATTCCATGTGGGATCAACGTGGATTAAAACTTAATTCCACGTTCATGTACCTCTGCAAGGAATAATCGTAAAATCATAGCAGATTTTTACAAAAATGGTCCACACAGATTCCACATGGAATCTATGCGCTTTCCACGTGGAATTCATGAAATTTTCTCTGACTGGGATATGACCTGAAATAACTTTAAACAGTCAGAAATTATGTGACGTGGTAATTCACTCCTCTGTGTTTTCTTTCTACTAGTTAATTTTCGGAAATAATCGGTGAGTCTACTTACTCTTCGTCATGTGGTTTAATTAATCTTGCCACTCTTTAATAATTATCTCTGTATCACATTGCTGGCTTCTAATTGTGTCGCCAGTTGTATGATCTTCAGCTCTGATCGCCAATAAGTTGATCTAATGGTAGAGTGCTGGCAAAAACTTAGCTACAAAAGCTGAATTTAAATTCATTAATATAGATATTAATTCTAGTATCAGAAAATTATGTATATTACATTTTCTAGGTATTCTTGACGATGAAACTGCATTGTACATGTCAATGCCAAGATGTGGCGTGAAAGATAAAATTGTTCGAACTTCTGGACATGTACACAAGCGTTATGCTCTTCAAGGTAAAATTTAAAAGTATTTTCTCTTATAAAGTGATTATTTCAAGAACAATGTTGCTTTTGAAAAATAAGAACGATGTTTTTTTAACCTTTTAAATAATTTTCGTTGTTTATTTTCTTTAGTAACATATTAATATAAATAAGCAATGTTTTCATTTTCGGTGAGTTTTGTGGAAAGAACGGGAGGGGAGGGTCCATAGATCTATTACAAAATTGACTGTCTTTTGACAAAATAAAAATAGCCTTCAGTAAAAAATCCGGAATTGTTACATATGCAATAATTTGCAACAAATGAAATAATAAAACTGTATACTTGACAAATTTAACACAACTGTAGATAATTAAACATGTGCTATAAAATTGAATGAAATCAATACAATTAGATTTCATTCTGTTATCGTATTTTCATGGATGAAGATTCGTCATCCACTTGTCAAGTTTTTTTTTAAATAAAGAAAAGATACATAACAGGCTATAGTTATAAAGAAGATTTTACATAATTGGCTAACATGCTAATTAAATTTTGATTTATAAGTTATAAATTACAAATATATCTTAAGTAAAAAAGTCCAGTTAGCGCTATAACTAGTTTTTACCTACAAACATTTTACTATATGTATGGGTCAAAATAATACTTTTTTACAAAACCGTGCGCACGTATGTCACCGATCTTGACGCGCTTTTGGTATGTTATAGTACATGGTATAAAGGTCCCAAAAAAAAATTTTTAGACCCCCTCCCCCCTCCTACCCCCCACTTCCGGTATAAACGTCCATTTTCGATCTATATTTTTTCTGAGGACTTGAAGCAAGTAAAAAATCTGAAAAAATTCATAAAAATACTTTTCCACAATCCAAACAACCTTGAATTTTTTCAGATTTTTTGAGTGCTTCAGGCCTTCAGATAAAATCATTGAAAATTTCAAAAATCGAGATACGGCGGTATGAGCCGATGTAGTACTCGAAAATTTTTTCAGTTATTTTTCGCATTAAAAAACATAACCTCAATTTTTTTCAGATTTTTTCAGATTACCTAACGCACCTTTTGAAGCCAAAAACCGATTTTTTTGACGAAAATAATTTTTTTAGGACAGTACGGAGCCTCGAATAATCTGAAAAAAAATTTTTCTTGTTTTTTTCATCAAAATACGTAATCTCAAATTTTTTCAGATTTTTTAATTGAAGGCGATAGCTTCTAGGGCCGAAAAACGCTATTTTTAACAAAAAATGGTTCCTAGAACCCGATGGTTCCGGTAAAAAAATTTGAAAATATTTTTTTTGAATTCCTTGTCAAATTTTAATAAATTTTGACCGTTTCAAAAGTTCGATTGAAGCTTCCTAGCTCATTTTAGAGCATCAAACGAGTTTTATCATTCCTTAATGTCTTCGGAAACGTCTTCAGATATTTTGCACTAATCTTTGTCCTGCTCTAAAATGAGCTAGGAAGCTTCAATCGAACTTTTGAAACGGTCAAAATTTATTAAAATTTGACAAGGAATTCAAAAAAAATATTTTCAAATTTTTTCACCGGAACCATCGCGTTCTAGGAACCATTTTTTGTTAAAAATAGCATTTTTCGGCTTTAGAAGCTATCGCCTTCAATTAAAAAATCTGAAAAAATTTGAGATTACGTATTTTGATGAAAAAAACAAGAAAAAATTTTTTTCAGATTTTTCGAGGCTCCGTACTATCCTAAAAAAATTATTTTCGTCAAAAAAATCGGTTTTTGGCTTCAAAAGGTGCGTTAGGTAATCTGAAAAAATCTGAAAAAAATTGAGGTTCTGTTTTTTAATGCGAAAAATAACTGAAAAAATTTCCGAGTACTACATCGGCTCATACCGCCGTATCTCGATTTTAGAAATTTTCAATCATTTTATCTGAAGGCCTGAAGCACTCAAAAAATCTGAAAAAATTCAAGGTTGTTTGGATTGTGGAAAAGTATTTTTATGAATTTTTTCAGATTTTTTACTTGCTTCATGTCCTCCAAAAAAATATAGATCGAAAATGGACGTTTATACCGGAAGTGGGGGGTAGGAGGGGGGAGGGGGTCTAAAAATTTTTTTTTGGGACCTTTTTACCATGTACTATAACATACCAAAAGCGCGTCAAGATCGGTGACATACGTGCGCACGGTTTTCTAAAAAAGTATTATTTTGACCCATATGTATAATCAATGTTGTTCAATTAGTATGCAGTGTTGCAAGCTTGCAGGCATTGACTTTGTTATTTTCTAGTTATATACTTATGCAAGCTCGCGTGTAACTGAGTTCAATTCGATAATTTATAACGTTCTTTATTTATGCATTTAAAAATAAAGATACTATTTATATTATTAATCATAATAATATAATAAGCTTGCAACAGCTCCAAACTCTACGTACTCATACCGTATCTGATCTATTGTCGCTACTCCGATTCTCGCACAGAAACCGACACACACACACACACGCGCGCGCGCGCGCGTCTACAACTAGGCCGCACGATAGGACTGAATTTTTACTTGCTGATGACTCAAACGTGCACTTTTATATTATATAAAAGTCACGCTTCTCGCAACGAGACAGCACAAGCTCTTAGAGCGCGCTTACAATTGCCTCTCTGGTGTCGCTCTGCATAACTTTGAGCCCAACTCCGTGAGTGAACAGATCGATGAAAACGATTAGCCATTCATTCTTACTACCGCTGGGTGGTAACTCCACAAGTTCACAGGCAACCAAGGCCCGAGGTCACTCGATAATCAGCGCTTTCAGTTGGTTCGCTCTCTGGCAGTTTGGTTTATATCCAATGCTGGGTCATCCTCGTGCCATATTGCCGAGAATGTTGCAACGATAACAGCGACGTATGGGACTCTCCTTGGCCGATGATCGATCTCGAGCTTCACTTCTGGCCCGCGCCCATAAAACGTCTGTAATTCAAGTATCCCGCTTCCTCGCATCCCATCGATTAACTTTCGATCAGTTCGATGCTACTTCAAGGTAGCATCTTCTTGATCTACGTTTCCAACGCATCTCATTAGACCGAATTCTAAAATCTCAGCGTGTAGCACCGAAAGCTGAAGTCTTATCGTGTTGCACCGAACTCTTAAATTTCATCGTGTAACACCGAAAGCTGGAATCGAATCTTGTAGCACCGAAAGCTGAAATCGCATTTTGTTGCACTGAGTTCTGAGCTTTCATTGTCAAGAAACCGTTTCTAATCGTCATGTTTTTGTGCGCGTCTATGGACATGCATCGTATGAATAGCAGACGTCGATATGCTGTCCCTCGGAGAAAGCTTCTTATACACGATTCACTAAAATACTTAGTTTGTCAATACAGGACTTTCCTTTTCTAAAACCAACTCTGATAGTAGGATTTGGTTTTCGACATACCAGAGAACCCTATTATCGATTATTTTTTCAAACACTTTAAGAAAGCACGACGATAGAGCGATAGGTCTCGCTTTGCAATTGTTGTTGACTTTAGGTATGAATGTTATTAGGTATTACTCCAGGTCTGTGAGAATACTCCTGTATGCAGACAATTACTATAGACATCTGATAGCGTTCTTAGTAAAAATTCTGGAAGACTGCAAATTATCTCATATCTCATTTCATCTATCCGGGGTGCGGATGTTACTTTTACAGCGTCTAAGACTAAGGTTAATTCTTCAAAACTGATGAGATCTGTTTGAAATACTTTGTTTCTATTTATCAAAACACTGTATTGTTGCAAGTAGAAAGTGTTAACCCGTTTGTCCGTCTGTGAGCCTAGCTCTATGAAAGTATTTTCAGCATCTATAAAAAATTGCCTATTTCCGTTCTGGAAGTTTTTTCTGTTCAGACCATTCTTGAATATTTTTATCTTGTTCAAAACCCTTGATATCGGAGTGAACTTTGAGAGTGATTGGTAGAAGTTTTGGAAGGTTTTTTTTTTTAATAATTTTCAATTTTCTTTTCGTTTCCGCACAAATTGTCTTATAGTTTATGAATTTTTCTAAGTTGCACCGATATTTGAGGGATTTGTATGGTGCAGTTCTTACTCTTATCAGCCGATTGCATTTATCGTTCTACCACACATTTCTGTTCCGTGTTGGTCCGTTATCAGTTCTTCTAGTTGCACCGATTTTCGAGCGTCTACCATTCTGACATCCTTCACTATTCCGAGCAAAGCAGTTGTGCGATTTAGAGGGCATTTCCATACCTGTCTCTACCGCCCGTTGTATGTGGCCGACAAAAAAAGCTCCATCTGTCCATGTGACTTCGATTCAGGAACTCGCTATTGCCAAATAGTTAAGGCGATTCATTTAAAATATTGTAGAGTTATCCCAATTCATCTTGCGCAAGGCTTACACCTACATTTCACAGATACAAAGTTATCAATTAAGTCATTTACGAATACAAATATATTATAAATATATAAATTGTAACGGTTCCCGCGACCGCTACAATATTCATAGGGTGATCCTAGGTGATGCGCAACCTCGCGCTGGTCGCCGGCTAGCTCAGTACTCGGTGCGACAATTCGCACCGACCGCGGCGGCGTCGTGGTCCAACCTAGGAAGAAATAACGGGAAAGGTTTTGCCGAAATAACAATTCGCGAATTAACATAGTATTTAAGAAATGAATTATTATTAAGTTTCAAGTTCTGGATCGATAATTACAGCGCACGCAGCAGCGCAATCGCGGACATACATTTCTCACACACCGGAATCGCAATTGCACATGTTCAGAGAGGTCTGGGTACTCAAGTGGTACTTACAGTTCGTTGCGTACTTCGTCGTCGCCTTGGTCAGTTCGGCCCTATCGCACCGTCCGTGCTGCTGCACTCACGCACGCGGTATGCAGAATTGAGCGGCAATCCTTTGCCGCGTACAAATGAACTACGTGAAGATCCGGCACGCGACACCGTTTCACGTGTCCCGACAATCAAGCCCGTTCGAAGGCGTACACGCGAGTCCAAGTCGTACGTATCGCACGCACCCGTGACATTCGGCGCTACTCGTTCAAGCTAGTCCAGGTCGTG